CAATGATTTGGACGCGAATTTCAAGATTCTATGTTGGTGTATGCAGTAGCTTGTTATGGTCATAAATCCTATTTGATTGAGAAAATGCAAGGATATTAGCAAGAACTCCATGGTTGACTCAATTTCCGTTGTGACGAGATCGTCCACGAGCTGCATCGCACTTAGGCATAGCAAGCAGCTCGCCACAATTTTGGTGAAGTGGTCGATGCCTTCGCTGCGTTTGAACTTCACTGTATTCGAGTGACAAGATTTGTACGAGCGCACAAATTTGTACGGCAGGCACAACAGAACTTGCATAAGTCGCAGCAGCAGTAGGAAAACAGGTTTCATCTCCATGTTGCTTGAATGCGAAAATAAAAAAAAAATCCAAATTTAACTGGAACAGGGAAGTTTCAGCAATAAATTTTGTTACTTTCCCACTCCCAGTCCTTTTGATTGATTAAATGGTTTAAAACTGATGATTACTCTGCGCAACAGCTTTCGCTTGCAGTTCAACTGTATAAATACAGGTAAATTAATTTTTTACGTTTCATTCGCAATGAAATGGGGATTTGGTTCACGAACTCTTGTTTAGAAGAACGTCCACGATGCGACCACCTCCATCTGCCCTGATGGAACAACCCGATGTCATTCGCCTTCGAGCTGCACGAGGGGCTCTGGAAAGCTGTTTGTAAATTAATTAATCAGGTCGGGACGACTTGTTATTTTAATAAGTGAAGTGCTGTGGCTGATGATTGTTCGGTTGTTTGTGTCGGAGCGACGGTCATTAATTAATCTTGTCCTTAGCTTGAATGAGACCATGCGATATCGAACTCAGCGACCCATTAGAAATATAAACGGTCGATATAATAATGATAAATTTAGAGCATCTTTTAATTTCAAAGTGCTGTGAAATTCACAGATAGCGAAGGGACTTCTTTATTGAGTATTTATTTACAGATGAATGCATTATGAACTATGATTACACAATATATTTCGTCACTTCATTGAAGCGTGAGCAATTGTATGTGTAGAAAAAAAATGTATCGGGTAAAACTTTAGACGAGCTTCGACTCCTATAGCAAAAATCATGATGGAAGTCCTGGCAAAGTTTGAAGTTTGTCCACAAGAAACTTTGTCATTATCGCGCGTTATTAATTTTTTCTCAACAAAAGTCCTTCCATCTTTACGTGTTTATTTAATGGAATAATCTAACCTTCGTGATGCCTGAGCTTCGCCTACACTCAAGCTTTCGCATCAAAAGTCGCGCTGAAGGCCAGACAGATGGACTTTCACGCAGCAAACGCATACAGTGACTGTTTCAACATCAACGCGGTCTTTACATAGGTGTGTCAATGTTCAAAACCTACATCGAGAACCTTTGCACCTTGGTGATAAGTTATAATTTGGACGTGTCCATGTGTTGAAATCTTGAAAAATCAATAAAAGCTGGTAGACTAGTGGTAGTAATTAAGTAAAATCATGTCACGACCGTCGTTCGTCTGATCTTAGATCAGACTTAAACTGGGTTTAATTATGTGAAAACTTAATTTTGACAATTGACATTAAATCATAAAACGGAAAGATGGAAAGGAGGGAAACGAGTAAGTAAGAATGATTTTAATGTTCGGGCATTTCAAGTTCCAAAAGCTTAAATTTATCATTAAAAATCGACGGTTGTTAGACTTTTGTCGCATCTACATATTTCTGTTTTGCAACCATCAGCCACATTTTTTCGAAAACTCAAAATTACCAATTTACTAAATAATTTGATTTAATCGGTCTAAATTGTCTTGAACATCTTTTTGGCGCTGTAGAGCAGTGATAATTTTCTTTCAGGGATGGGTGCTCCGTATTCTTCTAATACGTGTACACATCTGACTTTAGTACAAGTTGAGAACTGAGTTCATATGTAATGCTATAGCTAAATATTTTTGAATGCACCTAAATTTCGTTCATAATTCGAATCTGTTGTTCAAGTTGGAAATAACTGCATAGGTTAGGAATGCATCGTATTCTGTCATTTTATTTTATTATAAGCAATATTATTCATTGTGAACATCGCATATTTAGGTTATGTGATGACCAATATTCCAAGCTTATGAGAGAAAAATAATTTAGAAGAGACTGAATTGAAGGGGGTTACATCCAAAAGCGATTAGGGTATCATTGTACAAGAAATTTTACTGTTAACAAGAACCTCGTTGATGTGAGGCTCGTTGCTTACACCATTTTCTCATCGAGTATGAGTTATGCTAAATGGTAGCACCGGATTGATCATCATAAAAAGTTTTGTTTCAAGTCCAACTTGAGAATATTTCAACGGAAATTTGCATCTCAGAATATTTTAATGGACAGTTGCGTCTCACAGAAACACGGTGCAGTTTAAGCAGTTTCTCCAGATGGGACACTGAAACTAATATCAAACCACAGGAAAAATTTGATCCTAAATTTTTCGAACTGCGATCGAAAACTTTATTAGCAAGCAGGCAAATTTGAGCTATTGTACCACATCCAACTTTGTGCTGGGGAGGTGAGTTTCGTAGACAAGATAGGAGAAACTCATCAATAAACTTTTTGGAGCGGTACCTCAATACATTATATATAATATAATTAATAAATAGTATATTCTTGTAATTCTAAATTGAAGAAGAAAAGAGTTGATTTAGATGAGTGATGAAAAAATTTTTTTATTGATTCCAAATCTACTGAAATTCCTCGTAACAAAAGCAAACCTTTTCACATGCAGAAAGTTAGGTGCTTAAATTACCCGCCAAGTGTAAGTTTACGAGTATACTATCACGACTCATAAGTATAGGGGCTGAATTAGGAAGCCCAAAACCTAACTTAGTCTGGCGAAATACTGACCACTCTTCTACTTCTAACTACGTAAAGTTCTACTGATTAATCAACTGCCTTAAAATTATACAAGGTCAACAACACGACCAGATTTGAAAGACTAGATTGTAAGTATTGCTTCATGATTTTGTGCTACTTGGAACTCTACTTAAGACTACAAAGTGCTAGTAAATAAGCTACGGACAAAAACACTGGAGCTCAAAATGAGCGAAATTCCAAAATCCTGTCGGTAGAGTGAAGCACAGCAAGCGGCTTCAAGACATGGAAATTTGAGGAAAAAATACTCGTCGTATAATAATAATGAATATCGAATTAGTGACACTGAATTAGGGAAAATACAATCACAATTTGGAATAAAATCTTTTCGATTTTTTTTAGAATAATATCTTTTTAATCCGGTTAACTACTTATACATTTTATGTACTTATACTTTTGAGAGCAAGAGATGGCAGTTGAACGCCGCGAAGCTTTTATAGATTTTACCTAGATAATATATATATCTTAAATTTCAATTATTACATTACCGTGAAAACACTGGAATAACTATTTTCAAGTCAGTCTACTAGACCGCAAACAAATAATGAAGCTGAATGATTATTGATTACATAAAATAATAAAAGGGCAGGGAAACCCAAAGTGCAGAAGTGGGCTCCCAAAAACACTTCCAGAAAATGTGCTTCCAACGAATAGGATAATCAACAGTAACCTTAATAATCTTCGAAGAAGATAATAGTAAGTCATAAAAATATGACTTTTGGCTTCGTTGTAAATCTTGAGCTGCATCTTTACGACTAACAACAACGGACTTCTATCAACAACCATTTAACTCAACTCACGCATATCTTCCCATACTTCCCACCACCAATGACAACGAATATAACTTAGAAATTCTCAAGTTTGATACTTAACGAGGCTTAAATTCCCACATTATCGCTCTGGCAAATCTTCAGCGAATATTCAGCAAGATGCCAATAGCTTACATATAGCTTTTTCGCATTGGAAATGTAAGAGTGAGATACTGTAACAAGACTTGCACACATATTGCTTTCCCCAAACACGGTCAACGAAAAATTTACCAATAACATTCATCTACATACATCAAGGAAGCTCAAACATGTGTACACTACAGTATTTACGTGACAAGAGATACAAGTGCATCGTGGTTGTTCGGAAGCTTTCATGAACATGAAAAATATATTTTAAAGTGAGCCACCAAGTGCTTGGTGGCTAACTTTACACACGTACGATATTCGTGCAAGATACGTCGACTTGAGAGAACCTTAAGACTGATTTGTGACTAGACTATCATGCAGAACGAAGTGACTAGACCGTATAAATTACGTTAAGTAATGGCATTAATTACATAAATAACATACACTGATGCTTACAGAAATGCCTATAATCGTTAAATAAACCAAGGGTATCACATAATTGCTGATAACAAGTTTGACAAGTCTACTTACCACAAGTAGGTATTTACTACAGAATTATGGCTGCGCTGTGGTTTCTTGGACGACGCAATTTTTTACTCAAGAAACATACGAAACATACTTCGATTAACGATTAAACATCTAAAAAATCTTTCCAGACATAGACAAAAAAAACCTGAAAATTCGACCTCTTAATCTATTATGTAAAAACAAATTAAAACAATTTATACTTTACCAAGTCCACAAATTATCCAATTCTCAAATAATACAATTATAGTTTTCAGCATAGAATGGCACGAGATCTGATCCTTGTTATTTTGATTGCGTCATAAAAGCAAGTGAGAAATGGAAATTCCGTTCAGAAATGCCGTAGTTAGATCGTGACCGGAATGTGGCCTCACTCAACGACGCATGGACTGGCTGCGATGTGGCCTCACTCAGCCACACGCTTGGTTAGTCGCAGCCACACGCCTCACTCTGCCACAAGCTTGGCCAGTCGCAGCCACACGCCTCACTCAATGATTGTGCAAGCGCTGTGAGAGAGGAACTTGAATGCCTCTCAAAACTTTAGTATAAATATTTTAATACGTAAAATTCAAACAACTGTCCATTGAAATCTTCTATTTGAACGCTGAAAAAATCCCGTTTCTGTTATCATTAGGATGATTGTGCAAGCACTGCGAGGGAGGAACTTGAATGCCTCTCAAACCTTGATTATAAATATTTTAATACGTTAAATTCAAACAACTGTCCATTGAAATGTTCAGAAAATCATGACAAACCGATGCAGTTGCGCGGGCCGCTACCGAATGGCATGTACACGGCAGGGGGCGGACGGCTCCTGCCCTGTCCGGAGAAGCGCTCAGGGTCGAAGCGGTCCGGGTCTGGGAAGTGCCGAGCGTCCCGGTGGATGCTGGCGGGGGGGACAGACAATCAGTTGTGATGGGATTGTTGAATTAGTTGAACAATCAGTTGAGATTAGATTGTTGAACAATCAGTTGAGATTAGATTGTTGAACAATCAGTTGAGATTAGATTGTTGAACAATCAGTTGAGATTAGATTGTTGAATTAGTTGAACAATCAGTTGAGATTAGATTGTTGAGATTAGATTGTTGAACAATCAGTTGAGATTAGATTGTTGAACAATCAGTTGAGATTAGATTGTTGAACAATCAGTTGAGATTAGATTGTTGAATTAGTTGAACAATCAGTTGAGATTAGATTGTTGAATTAGTTGAACAATCAGTTGAGATTAGATTGTTGAATTAATTGAACAATCAGCTGAGATTGGATTGTTGAATTAGTTGAACAATCAATCGAGATTGTATTGCTGAACTACTTGAACAATCAGCTGAGATTGGGTTGTTGAATTAGTTGAACAATCAGTTGTGATTGGATTGCTGAATTAGTTGAACAATCAGCTGAGATTAGATTTTGTTGAATTAGTTGAACAATCAGTTGTGATTGAATTGTTGAATCAGTTGAACAATCAGCTGATAAAAAATGAGTTTATTGTCCATGTCATAATCAAAATTTTTGAAGGAAAATATGATTTTAACCATCGTTAATGTTTTCATTGGAAAAGCTGATCTATTAGTTACAACTTAAATTGTACTAAGTAATATAAAGTAATAAAGAAATTTTATACATTACACTGACAAATTTAAATGAAAGACCTAATCTAAATAGGCAAAGGAAATTTTCAAACAAAAACTTAAAAATGTAATTAATTACATATCGAAGATTTCAGAAGACTTGTTAGGAAATTCTGAAAGTGTTGGAATGAATAACATAATTCGAAAAGTATAATAGTAAAAATTACTCAATATTAATCACCGAAACATAATATCGCTCAGTTTCTTCCTAAAAATACGATTACTAATACAATTAGGGATATGGCAAGATGATGCGAGGCAGACCTGTAGATGGGGATGGTGATTTTAGTCCCGGCGGAGATGGTGACGCGGGTGCCCGGGATGGTGTAGTCTCTGGTGCAGCGTCGATCAACCCGCGGGGCGGGAGGGAACAACCGTAATGTTTCTGTAACCAAGCAGCACGTCAGGACGAAGCTGACAGCACGTCAGGACGAAGCTGACAGCACGTGTAACCAAGCAGCACGTCAGGACGAAGCTGACAGCACGTGTAACCAAGCAGCACGTCAGGACGAAGCTGACAGCACGTGTAACCGAGGAGCAACCACCACTCTATCACTACCAAGCCAACCATAATGTATTTTGCATGCCGAACGATAGTAAAGTCTTAGCACCAAAGACGCCGAAATATAACAAACGAATTAATTGCATCTAATTCTTGAACAATAGGGGAATTCTCGTGATAAAGAATCTTAAATAGAAGTTTAATTACAAATCACACCAAAAGAAGAATGAAATATCATAGAGATATGATATTTTTGCCAATAAAGCCAGCAATTAATATATATTGTAAAGCCACTTCCAGGGTCAAGTCACCGAAAATTAGCACTCCCACACAAAATAGATAAATATAATCGACACAAGACTCTACTCAAAGTTCTCCATGTCTTATAAGTTCGAATTAAAGTTTGATCATTTTTAAGCATTCAGGGGCCATACTTTCAAAACTCGCTAAGTGAACGTAAGTACTTACGCTCTATTTTCTTGTCTGCGATTGGTGGATTTTGCTTGATAGGCCGTCAATGATTGGCTGATGAACTTACGATCTCTTAACTTTTTTTTAAAGTATAGGCCCAGGGGCAAAACTTTCATAATTCGCTAAGTGAACGTAAGTACTTACGCTCTATTTTCTTGTCTATGATTGGTGGATTTTGCTTGAAAGGCCGTCAATGATTGGCTGATGAACTTACGATCTCCTAACTTTTTTTTGAAAGTATAGGCCCTGAACTCGAGTTTCTCACCAGAGAAAACCATGTCCAGGTATGGCATCTCCTGCAGAGCCTCGTACGTCACGACGTTGTTGTGGGCTTGCAGCACCTGCGCGACGTGGCCACCAAAATTTAATAACAATAAGCAACATTAAAGCAGAAAAAAATTCATAAATCCTAGATGATGATGCAACATTATAAAATATAAGAGTATACCTTAATAGCATTTATACAGTCGTAGGCATTGAAAGTCATGTCAATAGATGAAATTAAAGCAGATAACATTTTATCAAACCTATTTGATGCATCTTGATATTGTTTAATAAATCGTAGTCATAAAAAGTAATGCCAATTTATAGAATAAAAGCAGATAAAACTTTATTAATCTTACATGATGATGCACCAATATAGGAGTATCTTGATAAGCTAATACATCGCAGGCTTAGTAAGTCGTGCAAATAAATCCAATACAATAGAGTTTACCCTCTCGCCCTCCTCCATGAGCCGCTGCTGCACGGCAGGATGCAGAGCAAGGCAATAAGACACGTAGCTAGTCATGCAAATAAATACAATAGTTTACCCTCTCGCCCTCCTCCATGAGACGCTGCTGCACGGCAGGGTGCAGGGCGAGGCAATAAGACACGNGTGCAACATGTCATCAGACTAAATAAATACTAAATAAATAAATAAATTCTAAAGGGTGAGTGCAACATGGCATCAGACTAAATAAATACTAAATAAATAAATAAATTCTATAGGGTGAGTGCAACATGGCACCAGACTAAATAAATACTAAATAAATAAATAAATTCTAAAGGGTGAGTGCAACATGGCATCAGACTAAATAAATACTAAATAAAAAAATAAATTCTAAATGGTGAGTGCAACATGGCACCAGACTAAATAAATACTAAATAAATAAATAAATTCTAAAGGGTGAGTGCAACATGGCATCAGATTTAAATAAATAGTAAATAAATTCCAAAGGTTTATAGGTTTTTAATATTATAAAATAACTGAAAAAGTGGTAACTTAAGTGCATTATGAAAAAATGATTTTATATCCCCCTTATACATTGAGGTTTGTATACCTTTGATATTAAAAATTTAATGAACTTGAGGTATCTTAAATGTTTTATAAAGGTAATGCCCTAAAGTTATACTTTTATTAAATGTAAGACACTGTAAGTAACATCGGTAAAATAGGAAGACATTAGTCAAATAATAGTCAGTGAATGAATCAAAATCACCCATTTCACAAATTTTTAGTAGCTCTGTAGATTTTTAGTAGTAGTGGTAGTAGTAGCAAACGTCCAAGAAAATCATATTATGACCAGAAGTTTCATAAGATCATACCAGGCTCCGTAGCATCAGTTGATTTCTGAGAGCTGGAATCAGCCTGGTTTTGCATGCCCTGGGAATTTTCTGCAGAAATTGAGTCAGGCACAAAACTTTGTTCACGTTGACCGTCCACAAGCTTTGCTCGAGGAGGCTTGGCTCCTGCTGTTGCATTAGCGCTGCTTCCGTTGCTCTCTTCGAAACAATGGTGAGCAGAGGCTTTATTTTTGCTATTATTTTTCTCGTTATTGTTGGTTTTTTCTTGGAGTCTGGCATCTAGAAGCAACTGGAGGAAGTCATTGCGCCTAAGTTGATGCTGTAGCCGGTAGTTCATAGTGTCAGACACAACCTGTAGTTTACGAGGTCATCATTATTAACAATAGTGCGGTAATTGACGAGGAACAGATTTAAGAACGGAAAGAAAGTATAAAGAAAAATTGTAAAACAATAGTAGTCACATATGAGAGCTAATAATTGGTAATAATTTACATTATTAATGACCAAATTATTTGCATGGCTGTGGACATTATTTATTCAGTCAGAAAAACCGTCAAATGAGCAGTAATAAATACATTTTCTATGAATAATGAGAAGAAAATATGCATGAAATACATATACATACCTATATGAATACATATCAATGTATTCAAATACATTATAAATTCGATTTGAAACCATTAAATTAAAAAAAACCATAATCATCACATTAAATTCAACGAGCATCACTTTTACTTAAAACAAAAGAAAAAGAACTACCAGAAATATTCAGAAAGTCACATAAAGTCTTGACCTTTGAGAAGAAATGAATAGGCGTGCGACTGAGAGAAGCAAGACCCAGGGACCGCATGAGCTGTGGAGCGCACCACTGCAGCCACAGCAGCGGCTTCTGCCACGACTGCGGCTCTGCGAAGAAGCGTGCTGCTGCAGCGCTAAACTCATCCTGCACAAACAAAACTATAAACAAATTGCAAAATTAAGCAAGGTGAGTTATAGGAGGGAAATGTGAAAAATGTTTTTGAAGTGAGAAAAGTTACGAGCACAAACAAAACTATATACAAATTGCAAAATTAAGCAATGTGAGTAATAGGAGAAAAATGTGAAAAATGTTTTTGAAGTGAGAAAAGTTACGAGCACAAACAAAACTATAAACAAATTGCAAAATTAAGCAAGATGAGTTATAGGAGATAAATGTGCGAAATGTTTTTGAAGTGAGAAAAGTTACAACAGGATATATAAATAATACAGTAAACACAGGAAGCTCAAGCTTTGGTAAACCATGCAATAATTCAAAAGAAAGTAAGGACATTCAAGGTAGTCTCTCAATATTAATCAAACACTTCTACAACATGGAAAATTATGCATAATTTTTCATTAGTAACAAAATAATGAAGTTAACCCTCTCATCAATTGATAGACAATAAATTTCAAGTTTTCATTAAATTATCTTAGGTAAGAAAGGTGAAATTGCTTCAGAATTAGAATTTAAACACACTTGAGTATTATTGAGGGAATCACTGCTGACGCCAAATGCAATACTGGCAATTGTATCCATGGTGAACATCCCGTAGACGTCTTTCATCTCGAACACGGACACACTGCTCAGGAAAACACATTTTACTCTCCACTGTCCTGGCATCAGGCTGATTAAAAAATCTGCATTCACAACAGGTGGACAAAACAAATCCATTAAATTGTTACTTGATTTTATATGGTAAAATTTTAACGCCCTAGCATCAGAAAAATTAATGAATATTTCAAAAATACTTACGGAGTTTTTAGTGTTACTTATAATATATAAAGATTTTAGGGAACCTTTATTTGACTAACAAATTTTTGTTTTAAATTTTATACTCTATAAAATAATTGTTATTTGTTTTGAATGAAATTACATGGCAAATCAGCTACTGACTTTTGGTCAAGTTTCTTGTTGAAGTAAGTGATGAGGTTTGATGCACAGTCTCTCACAAGTCCAAGGGTCTGCTTGATTTTTCCGCTACTGAAGGTGGGCGTCATGACAGAGCGAACTCGCTTCCAGATGTTGCCTTTGAGACCCAATAGCATGTGGTCCATTACGGGATCATTGAATGTTACAAAGCTGGAAAGAAATGCATACCACATTAATCTTAATAATTTTCATCATAATTTGCAATAGGATTAATGTTGAATGTTGTAAGATTAATGCATACCTACAGCATTGATCTCGTACAATGAATGATGGTAGTAATAAAAAGTATTGTAATGAATGCTGATGGAAGCATCAGGTATCTATTTAGTAGGTTGTAAACATAGTACTGGAATCGTCTGATAACCGACAAGAATCAAATATTAGCTATACCTAGAAAGTTTTGTTACAAACTTTAATAGAAGAACATGACATGAGGATATTACCTGCGATCACAGAAATGATCAAAGTCACGAATCATGATATGCTTCAGCAGTTCGGGGTCTCCCACCATCAGCACGGGCTGTGTAAACTCGTAAAATCCACAAAACCTGTCATGATAAAAATAATTAAGCAAAGAATTTTAAAATTTGTCCTAACCTAATTTGTATATAAATGTTTAACATAAAATTAAAACATTCAAGAATTACTGATATTTTAGCAAATAAGATTCAAAAATAATGGTAACATTAATAATTTTTATGGTTAAACTGGGAATGTCTTCTTGCCCATTTAGCCATGGTAAATTTACATTGTTATCAATTTATGCAATAATAATTGAACTGTACTTATGGTATAACATATTTCTCAGAGTCAGATAAAATAAGAGAGGAAAATAATCCAAGGGGACATTTACCTTCAATTTGTAATGTACTACATAATATAATAGCATTAGCAAAGCTTATAAAGGAAAAAGATATTTAGAGGCTAATATTTTACCTGCTTCCTCCACACTCTCTGTAAAGCCAGCGATCAAATTCAGCCATGCACATGGTGGGTCTGAGTCTTGGATACAGATTGCCTAGTCCCCAAACCGGATCGGGACTCCCCACTCCTCGTGAGCTCCAGTATGAGTAACAAGATCTGGAGAAGCAAGAACCAATTTTTTCTTGACTTACAGAAAATACAAGGATTCTTAGTTGAATATTTAGCTCAAACAAAGGCCACAAGTTTTCTATATAATTGGCTGTAAACCAAAAGAGCATTTACATCATTTGATTGCATGCAACTGGAGCCTTTCAAAGCCCCTGTGTATCTGCATGCAAGTAAAATCCTATCTCTCTCTCTCATGTGTGCTTTAATGAATCTGATCAGATACCTACATCAGTTACACATCATTTATAAGCATTGTGTGAAAACTTTTTGAACTTAATGGAATTAATAAATAAATAAATAAATTACCCACTTGATACTGATAGCATTATTCAAATTATTTGAACAATTTTCAGCGAAATGTAAGCTCAATAAAAAATTTAAGAAGTATTAAAGGCTCGTTATGGCCATTCATAATTTTGATGTACCTACCTAACGAGTTCCCCTACCTGTTATTGGAATTTTATTTTAAACTCGCTGAACACACAAAATATATCCATAAGAGAGGTAAAAACAAATGCACTTACCTAAAATAAACAACAGCAAGTGCCAGGAGTAAGGCAATTACCAACAATATCAGAGGAACTATGAGCCATCCTACTGGCGATGTTCCAGGATTTGACATTCTGCTCTCGAAATAAGACAATGTAACTCACATTAATTTTAATTTAACATTTCAGCAAAAAACTATTTTTTTTACTTAAAATTTAATACATTTTCTGTTGAAAACAAAAATGATTACAAGAGTTTTTATAGAAATAATATTCAAGTTATAGTAATATTAATTTCGAATCATTTGCCAGGATTGCCAGATGGTCTTTTTTTCCAGACAAATTGTGTTTAGTTTTTTCAATTGTCTTTGCTGGCTAAAATTTATGATAGTGATACTTTCTTATTAAATTTCAAAGGTGCAAAAAAAAAAAAGGAAAATAAAATTATTATACTAGAACTGTTGAATCTATGTATAATCCTCCAGTATAAGAGAGAGACCACATAATATATACGTATTTGTGTTCAGCTATCTCGTGTGTTATGCCCATTGATCATAAAGCCCCACGTCTTATGATGAGTTTAGGACTTTGTAGTTCACAGTCAAGCTGATGATGCTCTGCCTTCATCATCCTCCATCGTCCTCCCTCTCCAAGTATTTGCTAGGCAGGTTACTCAGCCCATCGGTCCCGGATGTAACGTTGGACGTGTTCCATCTATTTGCCCTTCTTCAGACCAGGTGATGAAAGATGCTGTTGCTTGTCACTTGCTGAGGGTACATTGCCATTACTGGACAATCTGGGATCTTCTTCAGAAACTTATCCAGTTGTCTCTTGAAAATTGCAAGGGTAAACTTCCCTCCTCTCAGCACCTTTGGTAAGGCGTTTAACAGCCTTGGTCCTACCACGGCCGTCGGCCAGTGATCCCTCACAAAGTCTGTACTCGGGCCATGGCTTGGTTATTGAATGGGGGAAACCTGCAGAGCCTCCCCCTCCCATTGTTGTAATGTGTCACTATTCTGGAGCTCTCACATTCAAAGTTAGGAGCCAGTTTGGTTATCATCTTCCAAGTGTACAGTATGATATACCTCTCTCTTCTCTCCAGTGAGTACAGTCCCAGGTGTTTCAGCCTTTCCCAGTAGTTCAGGTCCAGCTCCCTCATGCCACTGATCCTGTACATGAAGGTCCGCTGCACTGCCTCCAGTTTCCACACTGCATCCGCCTTGAGCAGTGCCCAAAGCTGACAGCAGTATTCAAGATTGGGGAGCACTAGGGCTCTGAAGAGTGTAATCAATGGTGCTGCTTCTCTTGTTCAAAATGTCCACCAGGTCTACCCCATCCTTTGTCTCCCTCACGCAACTATTTCCTTGATGTGGTCATCAAACATGGCTTCAGTACACATCAACACTACAAGATTTTGAACTACCATAGTTGCTTCTCTTCAACTGGCTGATTGATGCAGGCCATCATTTGCTGGTTACAGTTCAAGCTAAAGTCAGGGTATGAAGTGATGATTCAATATAATCCTCAGTGGTGGACAATCATTACACTCAGGGCTAAACAGGGGCCAGGGCTATTCGCTTCAGAATATGGTAGAGTAAAGCTCTGATATATTAATGATATTTAAAACAAGATGATGCCATGGGCTGGTTACTGATGGCAAGATTAATACACAGCTGATTGGTGGCCTGACGGAAATATGACAGGCATTCTATTCAGGGGTCAGGGTAGATTGGTGCACAAACTTGGTGGTACACGCCTGCGCTCTGCCACTCCCAATGAAGGCAACTGCTTTACTCTTTTTTTCTTATTTATTCTTGGAGGAGCACTGGAAACTGGTCCTTCATCCATGCAGGGATGCAGCCCCTTGCCTTAACTGGGTATAGTTTGTATTTAATAGTCAAATATATAACATCTGAAAATAAAAATCTGAAAGAGAGAAAACACACACACACACAAAAGGAAAAAAACTGAAGAATAATAACTGCAAAAAGAACAATAACAAATGGAAAACAAATTGGGGAGAGAAACGAATGAGATAAAAGAATATGGTTTATGATAACAATAGCATGGCTGCATGGCTAAATGTTTATGTACGTACAGAATAGGTCAATGGGTATAGCCTTATAGGGGATACAAATTTGAGCATTGGCTCTAGAGATCACCACATGGAATGTGCTCCCAGCCTGGTTAGTTGTAGTATCCATGCCTTGTTCAGCGCCTCCGCCTCATATGGGCTATGGGCCCAGGGTTGTATAAGTTAATGACAAGTTACCAAAGGTCCAGCCTGGAGCTTCATTGGATGATTGGACTCATAGCTAAGGCACAATTCTACTTTGATCACGCACACCAGAAAAAAACATGACCGCCTATGAGCAGGACTCTGAAGAAATGAGCTGTGTGTGTGTGTCAAACTTTATTACTACTTTTTGGTTTTTATATTAAGTTTTTACACAAATTAAGTACTTAATTTGCTCCTAAGCTTGCTAAACTAATGATTAAAACTTTGTGTGGATAATTGCCAAAGCAGCTAGCTGAGCTAGGAGGAGTAATAACCCTTCTGTCAAATTAATAATAAGTTCACCATCCAATATTTAAACTTTGAAAAGGAGACTAAGTATTTATGTCCAATGAAGGGTCAAATACAATAGCCAATAGATGATGAATTTTTCTATAAGAACAGTGTCTGTTTAGCCTGAGACTGAGAGGTGGCATTTTTGATGCAGAATAGGTTTCTGTGCAGTTGGAAAATATTGATAATTGATGCTGCATCTCCTTGTTCGTTTTTCTTACGTTTAGCTTTGGGCTTAGGCTTTCTGCTGGTTTTTTGTAGGCTACAAACCCACACTCCAACTAGGTGCCCATCTCTAAATTATGACTATTTTCTATTTATTCACCAACTGTCAAATAAATGGTATTATATATAGGATAGGCCTTCTGTAATTTTCATTGACTCATGTTTTGAGAAGTAAGCTAACATTTTCAATAAGTAGCTATTGAATATCAACACTAGACTGGCCACTACATCACATTTGTCAAACATAATTATATAACTATTACTAAAATAATGCTATTATGCTACTACTATATCCTAAAAGCAATAGAAACGCTCCTACTAAAGAATTTCTTGTCCAAAATGAGATGTTTTTCATCCCCGCGCATGCAGATTGCAGAATTTGTTGTCTGCATCCGTCCGTCATGGAGGCAAAGTGCGGAACATGTGGCGAACAATGGATCGATCAATTGCGGCGGAGAATCGGGCAATTCCGTAATTTAAGAAGCTGATACTTCAATAGAATATCATCATATGACACTGATATCAAAAGAAACACAACCTTTTATATTATATTGAAACAACGATCTTAAACCATAGCGTTTGAGCCAGATATGCCCGTTTTCTCCTTGAACATTTGCTTAGAACCTTTCATTTCTAGTGAAACCTACCGATCATTTCAGGTTCCACAGGTGCAACGCTTATATCTCAGAAAAATTTCAACCGAAAGAGTTCGGAGTGATGGAATATGGTGAATCAATCACTTATTCAATGTAAATCACCACTCCACACTCGACAATAAAGTCAATAACATTGAACACTCTCCAATAGTGCATGGAGCAAAACGACCTCTTACGGTTTAACTAGTTCAACGCTTATATCTCGAAAAGTATTAAGGCCAGAGAGCGGGGAGTGATGAAATGTCGAGAATTAATCACTTATTCAATAAAAGTAACCACTCTGCACTCTCTGAGTTTGATATTTTCCGAGATATAAGCGTTTAATTAGTTAAACCGTAAGAGGTCGTTTTGCTCTAAGCCTAAAGGCGAGAGCCAAATGTTATTGTCGAGTGCGGAGTGGTGATATACATTAGATAAATGCTTGATTCACCTTACTTCTACACTCCGCACTCTCTGTGTTGAATGTATTCTGAGATACAAGCGTTGAACCTGTTAGGCCGTACCCGTTCATACTACTTCAAGCACTGTTAGCGAGTGCTACGTTTTATTGACGAGTGCTGTGTGGTGGTTTGCATTAAAATATGATTGATTGATTTCCGCATTATCTCTATTAGATGCTTTTGTAGTTATAAAATTCGACTATTCAAACCAAGACAAGGCTATAAGTTTAATCATGTGAACATGAGTAGTGTCGTTTTTAGCATTTGTTAATGGTAAGCTTTTTTTAATTTTCTCTATATGTAGAACACAGAAAGGAGATAGATATGCGTAGTTTCTCTGCTTTATTTTTCAACATGCGATAATCACAACAGGCCATGGGCCTATTTCTTCACTACCGAAACTTCTTTTCTATTCTAAAAATCAAAAATATATGTTCAGATTTGAAATGCCTAGCTGAGGCTAGCTCGGTAGCTCCTTATCGAACCCGGTGGAAGTCTAGTACTACTAGTAGCTACTTCAAACTACTATCGTCAGTCATGAAATGATCCGGTCAAATGACACGATTTTAGATCTTCTGTGAACATGGCACGAAAAGGAAAAGAATCGGAGACAGGCCACATCAGGCCTACGCTTCAGCGCCGAGATGTTATGTTATAATCAAAATAGTTACTTTACTTCTTGTCAAATTCGCGGAATTCGTTCAGCCGCGGCATTACATTGATCAATCGTTCGCCACGTCAGCGTCTTCGAAGTATGAATTCGACAATACGTCAGAGAGAGAGAGAGAGAGAGTCAGCTGCGTGAATTGAGTAAACATCTCTAGTGTCTATCGCCCTTGATTTCGTAAAATTACCCAGCAAATAATCATCTATAACTCACATATTACTTGATCTTGGACTACTATGTATACCACGAGTATATTTAGCAAAGGGTCTTTCCAGCGTTGAGAACCCGGCTGGCTCTGAAGAAGAGGAGGGACTGGGCCCTCCCCCAGTCCCCCCCCTCTTCTCTTTATGAGAAGAGGCAGTAGGTTTGTAGGCCAGCCAAGGTTAGGCAGTTGAAATTCTTGCATTGTATTACAACATTATAATCATTTTCTAATTAAGGCTGGATTATTCTTTTGAAACCTTGGCTTAGTTAGCCTTAGTATATCATTGTGTAGCTTGTCAAGTTGTCATCTGTACTTATTTATCTATTATTAATACTTTGTCATCTGTTAGAATCATTATTACCATGGTCAGGAACTAGTATGGAATATATCTACTTGGCGAGCCGCAACTGAATTTTTCGAGCAGTGGTTTTATGGATTTGCCAGCCTTGATTCCATTTCTACAAGCCGTGATTCTATTTCACCGAGCCGTGAATTGCATATCTCGGCCATGAAAAGTCATTTACGAGGTGCGAATGCAAATTTATTTACAAAGTTTATGCACGTGTTACCCCAAATCTCTAATTTTACCCTTAAACAGTCAAACGGCAACAACACATCACACTCGAAGTCGAAGATCGAAAATGCACGTGTCATACGATGTTGCCATTCCATTCAGATGAAAATTGTGTCTAAATCAGAACTGTATCGGACGGCTCCGCGCCGAGTGCTGCGCGGCGTGAAATCGATGACCGTAATTTACGCGAACGTCTGCGCGAAGAAAATATAATTAGATTATATTACGCCGAACTGCGCTGACTTAGGGCTTTAAAAACTATATATGCGCGGGAATTTTCACCGTTTATATACATCTTCCTGAGTGTGGGAATCATACATATACTACAAATGTGTCAAGTTTATATTTTATGTCTCAAGACCTAGGTAGAATTCCTGCATAATTTTGTAGCTTGAATATAACCATTACTTTTGTTATCAATATCAAAACTCTTTTGGCTCTGTTTTGCATTGACTAATTGCTATGTAAAATTGTTACATCCATACTAGCCTAGCCTATACTTCATGACTTCATCTTTATATCACTATTAGGAAAAAATTGTGTTTGTGTTGTTTTTGTTTACCTATTTGCTCAATATACTTGTCCCAGTCTGTAGAGTATGCAGTATGGCCTTTTTGCTTGAAATATCGGCATCTTTTGAAAATCTTTATTATCCATCAGCGTCCAGCGTAGTGACAAAGCAGAGAGTTTTTTAGACTCTCCCTCAAGTTCATTTTTGAGTTCTATATGTAGACCAGTAAAGTATCATGGATACTAGCATTATCATACTTGAGAAATTTGTTTAAAAATTAAATCTTGAGTAAATGAGGAAATTAAAAATGAACTGATTCTAAAAAAGCTCTGGTTTGCCACTATGTCCACCAGTGGCATCTTTTGAGGATCTTCACCAGCCATCTTGACCTTACATCAGCATCCTGTCGTGGTTGCCAGTTGCCACGGTTTGGAAGGTGCGGCGTGTGTACTGGAGGCCGCCGGTGGCGGAGGCCCATTTTGGGATGTACGCCAGCACGCCAGGAAAGAAAATTGCCAGTATGTTTGCTAGAAAAACAAAAGTGCATATCTGACCAATGTCTGATGATTGATACTGAGGCGCATGCTTTACGATTGATTCAGCAGTCTGGCACATCATCATCGCACATGCCTGACAGTGATGCACACTGAAGAGGAGCATACTGCCCCTCTTAGCTTTCTTGTTAAATTTCCAGTCCCTTGTACAACTTTCATTGCTGGACCTATGAGGCTATGATTTATCATGATATTTTAGATCATGCTACTTAATATTGCTTTCTTTCACAGGAAAGGAAGGGTAAAGTGTGTTCATCATTGCACATTAGTCACATCAGACATAAAGCACATGCTTTGGCAATTGGTCATTGGCAAAATCGATCGTGAGCGTGAGCATCAGAATTGATCATTGGCATTGGCCACATCAATCATAAAATGCGTGCATCCATGTAAATCATGCCACATCCTTTGCAAATTGTGAGCGTTGGAATCGATCATTGGGCATCAGCCACATAAATTGTAAAATGCATGCATCCATTTCAAACATGCTGCACCCTTCGCAAAGCGCGTGCGTCAGAATCGATCATTGGGCACTGGCCACATCGATCATAAAATGCGTGCATCCCTGTCAATCATGCCGCATCGTTTGCGAGAGCGTCTGCCTCATCAAAAATTTAAATGGCTACTGTAAATTTTAATTCCATACAATGAGCAGCTGAACAAGAATCCCACCTTGAAATCTACCAACTCAACTGCAATGGTCTCAAGGGTAAAGTTTCAGAACTTAAGATCTTCCTATATGTACACTAGGATGCCAGATCTGGTTTGTTTAAACACATTGGCCCCTTACTCAAGCCTGGAAAGGACCCAACCCAAGTCAGCTCCTACAGACCCATCACCCTGCTGTCATGCATAGGTAAACTTATGAGAGTAAACTTATGAGAGAGAATTATTCAAAGGAGAATTGAAATCTACAGTCTACATTGATACCAAGCACTTACTGCCACCTACCCAAATGGGATACAGACCTAGCAGGAGTGCCATGGATGTTTTGGCAGTGCTAACAGACACCATTAGACAGGCAACTATGGAGGGAAAGCACAGTCTGGTAGTCTGTCTTGACTTCCAGGTTGCTTTTGACAGTGTATGGCACCAAGGCCTCATCTACAAGATGATCAAATTGAAGTTTGAACCCCAGCTAATCAGATGGATGTATCATTACCTCAAAGACAAGACCACCTCTGTGCAGGTTGGCAAATACCTTTCTGAGATGAAACCTCTTGATAGGGGGGTACCCCAGGGTGCAGTTCTCTCTCCAACACTCTCCAACATAATGCTGAGTGACCTCCCAAAATCTCTTCAATTGAAAATCCTCTCCTACACTGGTGACATCACATTTGTTGCTGTCTCCAACTTGGTGGGAGTTGCTCAGCAGAGGATGTAAAGTTATTTAGATTCACTGGGTTATTGGCTTGAAAAATGGCAGTTCATGGTAAACCCATTAAAGTGTTCTCTCCAACTCTTCATGCAAAAATGTAATGTCCCTCCATTAAATGTAATTATTGCAAACCAAGCCATTAAGTACGTCCCTGTGCAGAGAGTCTTGGGCCCTGGCTTCAGTTCCTTTGTGTGAATTGGCATAACTATTATATTCAATGGATATTTGACACTACAAAGCTGACATTTAAGGCACACATTTCTTACCTGAAGGAGGGCCTCCGCCAAGTGGCACTTCTGCGAGCACTCTGGGGCAGCACCTGGGGTGCCTACTACAGCAGGTATATATCGGTTTTATCCACACCAAATTTGAGTATGGCAGCATTTTTGTTCAAACTTCATGATATCTTTGCCAAACACACACAAAAACTGCAAGTTATACAGTCCAGTGCATTAAGAAGTGTTCATGGTGCCCAAAACACATCTCCTATTACTTCTCTGGAGATTGAAGCCTATATAGTACCTCCTTTAGAGATCAGGTTTGACTGCCTGTTTTTAAAATGGTTACTAAAAATTCTGCGTTGTCCTCAGGGTACATTGGGAAATGCAATTTTCCATGAAGTTGGGAGTTTCAAAACCTAATTTTGCCAATAGCTTCTTTGCAACAAGAGCCGGAGGCCTCCTAACCAGCTGGACAATACCCAGCTTGAAAGAATTCCAACACCTAACAACTCTCCTGTTCCTCTGCATCTCAGTTTGGAACCTCACATTCAGCTCTCCACCCAAAGCACCTGCAGCTGTGATGATCCTTAAGCCATTAACAGGGGTACCATCAACAAATACTGCCACAAAAATTTTCCATCCTATGTCCACATATACCTACACTGTGGATCAAAGCATAGCAATTGTTCTACAGCTGCTGCCATGTATATACCAAGTCTTCAGACTGCCACTACATGGAAGCTGAACCCTTCCCTTACAGTCATTGGTTCAGAACTCTTTGCAATACTCAAGGCCTTGCAGTTCTGCTGCTTGGACCCAAGGCTCAGCTCAGAGAATATTATGCTGTTATCAGATTCCTGGTCAGCATTGCAAGGCGGTGCATCAGCGTGACCGGGGACTAGGAAGTCCCGAACTCATCATAAGGTAAAGCCATCCACAACATCTCGAGCCCCTTATACAGGGAGTACGTTTTCAAAATTCAAGAGTTAAATCACAAAAGACAAGCCTCCACAGTACTACAATGGGTGCCAGAGCCCTGTGGTGTAAAGGGTAATGAAGTGGCAAACAGGGCAGACAATATGAGCCATCTCAATGCCCAATCAGCTTTGAGCACAAAGGGGAGAGTCTGAGTCCCCAAAAAAACTTTTTATTCACAGACAGATCACTTTGAAACTTGGTACACATGTGTAAAGCAGAAATCTAAGATTTTTTGTTCATGTAATTTTTTTAAAAATGAAAGAAAATGTGAAATTCATAGAAAACAAACAAAAGAGTACCATAGAAAACTATCTCCTCCTGGGATTTTCAAGCTACAATATCGAGACCCATGTCATTTGATGCTTAAAGACCATATCTATTGATTGGTTGAAGCTTTTTTTGAAATTCTAATTTTTGTGGGTGAGAAGGCATTTTTTGCAAATTATTTATTTTTCCCCCTGCCCTCCCCACTTTTTTTGAAATATTTTCAAAACTATAACAAAATTCAAAAAAAGCAAAGATCATCCTCTAGGTCTTTTCTTTGCAAATTGAATGGAATATCTCCAAATTCTGTAGCTTCAAAACTGTAGGAGGAGATAGTTTCCCAGTAGCAATATGAGTGTAGCTAACAGCAATATGAGTGTAGCTAACAGCAATATGAGTGTAGCAAGCAGCAATATGAGTGTAGCAAACAGCAATATNTTCATTTGTTCATGTACATTCCAGTTGAAGCATGGATTTCTCTGCAGTTCCTTACAATCTTCATGATGAAATTCTTGGTAAGAATACCCTATTATACATAAAAGTTGATAGTCAGGCGAAGATTAACTAACATTTTGTTTTGTTATACACTTGTTTTATTTCTAATAATTAATTAAGTTTTGCCTTTCATTTTTCATTATAGCTTTTGGTGTTTTATGTAATTTGGATGTTTTATGTGTAAATTTTAGGATATCTTTATTCTATGTTTTGTTATTTCAGAATTATTCTAATCAAAGATTTTTTAAATCTGTGTTTCTCTCTTGGGATCATGGTGCAGTGTAATGTATTTTCTACTGATTATTTATTGGAATCATGGTGCAGTGTTATGGAGTTTTTACTGATTATATATTCTCATCACATATAGTTTTCCTAAAATTTATATCCACTGCTAAAAATCTATGTATACTTTTAAATGTGAAAAGTAATTATTATGTTAAAGCTTATAAAGCTTGTCTGTTAAGAAGTCCATAACTGAGATCAGCCTTTGTTTATGAATAAAAATATTGATGAAATTTTGTTGTATTCTGCTAATAAATATCATTCATTTGTTTAGAAACTATCACTTGTATGCTCTAGGCAGCTCTAAGTCTGGACAGTTCTAAGTTGGGACAGCTTCAGTCTGGACAGCTCTAAGTGTGGACAGCTTCAGTCTGGACAGCTCTAAGTCTGGACAGCTCTAAGTCTGGACAGTTCTAAGTTGAGACAGTTCTAAGCCTGGACAGTTATAAGTCTGGACAGTTATAAGTCCAGGGCCTATACTTTCAAAAAAGTTAAGAGATCGTAAGTTCATCAGCCAATCATTGACGGCCTATCGAGTAAAATCCACCAATCTTAGACAAGAACATACGTATGTCGTAAGTTCTTACGTTAACTTAGTGATTTTTGAAAGTATGGCCCCTGGACAGTTATAAGTCTGGACAGTTCTAAGTTTGGGCAGTTCTAAGTTTGGACAGTTCTAAGTTTGGGCAGTTCTTAAATCTGGACAGTTCTAAGTCTGGACAGCTCTAAGTCAGGACAGTTCTAATCAAAAGTTGATGCCTATTGATATCAAAAGTTGATGCCTATTGATATCAAAAGTTAATGCCTATTGATATCAAAAGTTAATGCCTATTGATATCAAAAGTTAATGCCTATTGATATCAAAAGTTAATGCCTATTCATATCAAAAGTTGATGTCTATTGACCAAGAGTGGAATCCTCTCTCTGTCGGGATGGACCTGCGTTTCACCCAAAGAATTCCATCTCATCAACAAAGTTTAGAGGTGGCAGCAGAATGCTTTGGGGCTATTTCTCTTCTGTAGGCCCTGAGAAATTGGAAATTTTAATGGGAAAGATGAGCTTCAAAATTATTTGCATTTTCCTATATATTGCTAGAGTTTATCTAAAGTATTGCAGGTTTTAACTATTTTGCTCAAAATTTTGATTAATTACCTTAAATACTTTGACATATGTTATTTATATAGAATACGTATACCTACTGTTTTGGAGCCTGCAGGATTGTCTGTAGCAGTACTACGGTATCATCAAACAGGGTAATAAGGGACAATTATGAGCATTTTTTGTTAATAACTTCTTACCATGAAACATCTGTGAAAAAATTCCTTATTGTTTTTGTAAGGTGCCTGATGCAAAAGAAAAGCATCCCAAATTACCCCTGGAAATGGGGTTATCTGGCACACTTGAAATAAAACTTAATTTTAAAAACGTTTGAAGCATGCAGAGTGTAGGTACGTACTCAATCATTGCAACACTAAACCGATTAATAGGCAAAAAATTTAGCTGAATTTACTGCTATCTGCTAACTTTTAGTATGTCAATTTTGCTTTTTCTTAATTTTTTGGGGCTCTAAAACTCTCAAAAACAGACCTAGAGAGCTGAACTTTTAATATGTTGTAGCATTGACAAGGAGATTTCCAAATAGGTTCTGAGGCCTGTTGTGGCTGTGTTATGTGATTAACATCCAAAGTGAATTGAACTGCAGAATTATACAATGCTGCAGCAACCAATCTTGTCTTGTGCTATTACATTATTTAGCAGAAACACACGACATGATTGGTTGATGTACATATGTTGACGTAGTCAGCCATCAGTGTGGCACACTGCTAACAATACGTAGCATTTAATAATAACACCTGAATTTCCTATCAGAAAAGATTTTTAAACATTTTTAGTGGACTGCCAGCTAGCAAAACTAAATTTAGCAGAAGCTACTTGGTCTGCTAATGGTTTTCAAAGTCAGCTGAAAAGCTAATCCATCAAGGAAAAAGTTGGCTAGCTCTGCTAATTAGCAGATTAACAGATCTGTGCCCACCACTGACTGTATCCATGGACAAGCCATTGAGCATTGACAATGACCTTGTCCACTACAAGCTTCATATCATTTTTTTTTTTTGTTAATTGGAGCCTTTGCTAACTGAGGTTCTACTTTAAATACATTTTTTAGGGGTGTCCCTTATTACCTTGTTGTGTGGAAATGGGTGCCATTTTGTTTTGGATTGAGGTACAAAAATTCAATTAATAAAGTTTTAAAGCTGACACCTGTCTGCAACTTTTTTTTCAATAAAATTTTTTTTAAGATGGTTAATATTTTTTTTATGAAAGACCTTAGCAGAAGTACTTTTTCAATTTATCACTTTCCAATATTTTTTCAGGGATTTTTTAGAGCCAGTAAATGTATGATTTCCTAACTTCCTGTATGCTACATATATAAGAAAAATGTTGAAGTCTATGCCACTATTTTTAGTTTTGCAACATTTCAATTAGTTTTGCTGCTATAACATTTTTACATTGTGGCAGAGGACTGTTTGTACCGATTTACCCTGCCTGTCCCTTATTACCCCATTTGATGGTAGCATGAGAAAAATAGAATAAAGGATATAATTTTTCTATTGCAGGTTATGGCGAGCATATATACGGCAGTGAAGCAATTGGTGACTCCTCACTGCTTCATGGCAGTGAAACAATTGGTGATCCCTCACTGCTTCATGGCAGTGAGATTGACGAGGCTGAGTATGGCACTCAGGGCTCAAGTGGAGAGTTCCAGGTTTGTGTTTGATTGCATTGCCTGTATTAACAATCACATTTTGTATATTATAGCTCCATTTTATTGTTGTTATTTTTATTCAAGTTATTGTGCTTGTTGTGAAATTAAGGTATTTGGTTCAGTTATTATCTATTTAATTTCTTTATACAATGCCACACTAACTGTTACGGTTACTCCCTCCTCTGAGAATGACTCCAACAGTGTGTTGCAGCTAACGGCCCCCATCTTCCAGATATTGTTTTCAAAACATAAGTATCCTAAATGGTATGTTATGCTAACCTCTAGGAAAATGAACTTTCTTCTTTATGTACCTCCATTGCTCTTTTATTATACCTCAAAACTGCTCAAACGGTTTTGCCCCACCCTATATATTGAGAGGTTGAGATTGTATTGACCTTATAGGCAATTAGAAAGATTTTCCACCCTAATACAAGTACCGGTATTCTAATTAAATTGTTTAATTTCAATCTTTAAATATGCGAATTTAAAACTAGAAACAAAACAATTACAATTATAAGACTATATATAAAATAATTAAATGCAGTGAATGGATATAAAGTATTTGAATTGTGCACATGTTTATTTCAAACAGTGTTAGCTTTTCTCATAACTTAAGTCTTGTTTCAAGTCGTATGAGGTTTGTTTGGTTCAGTTTATGTTTAGTATTGCTTTATTGGTCTGAATTAAATGGGAACAGTGCAGTCAGTCACTCAGTCACTACTAGTCGGTGTGTATAGAGGGTAGAGTCTGGTAGATTTATAGGACATAAAACTAGTAGATCTATTGATAGTGCTGTGCACTGTGCAATCATCTTCCTATCTGTTATGTGACTCTTCAATGTTTAGGAGATCTGCATTCCTGAAGTGTTTTTGTATATTGAAGCCAGTTAAATGGTCAATATTTAGCTCATTGCCTTGCTCCATACAAACTTTACAAAGCTAATGAATAGACTGATCAATAATTGTTTACCCAAAAATCCCAAAATGGTAAACACCACCTTGGCATGTTGGCCATTATTGAAGGCAATAAGTGCCCTTTTTAGCCATCCATTATGATCCATGTACTGTTATTGTTAATAGGCTAATTGCAACATAAAAAATAACACCTCAAAAAAGACAAAAAAGCTGAAAAAATAAAAAAAATCATGAAAAAATCAAAAAAATCATTGATTTTTGATTTTTTTTATTTTTTTAAAAAAATAAAAAAAATCGCCAACCCTGCTACAAGTCGACCAAGTCACAGTATGAGCATTGAGTAGCATTAATATTTAGCATTAACTTACCACATATGCAGTGGGTAATGTACTATTATTAATTCTGCCAAAGATTCCATTCATATCTAATGATTAATCCTTGTTAATTTAATTTATAGTTATAACTTTATATTAAAGAATATAAATTCTGATATGAGTGACATGATACTATGTAAAGTGTTTAATGAGAGATTTATTATGTAGGCAATACCTGAGTTGAATTTTTTTCTTCCATTTCTGTTCACATGTTCACTTGTGTAACTTTAATTTCTATAATATTTTATGACAGGAAAGCTCTACAATTTTAATGGATGGCGGGGATCAGTATTTTGTGAATGCTGTTCATTTTGATACCATGGAAGAACTTGCATGGGCTGGCAATGCCGCGGTGAGTGTTCCACTTCACTTTTTAACCTTTTTTTAAAGTAATAATTTCATTATTTTAAAGTTGATTTAAAATATCCTGATAATTAATTTAATAAAATGTTTGTCACTTGGACAAAGTTTTCTCATATCTTGTGTGTGGCAATTAATATATTCATGCTTTTTATGATGAATGCTCACTGATGTACCAGTATACTTTTACATTTGGTATATTAAGTTTTGTAAAAAATGTATTTGTATTGAGCATACAATACAGAGTATTGAACATGCTAATGCTTTTTTATGTACTTCTTTTGCAGGGCCACGTGACATCTTACTACCATGCAACCAATCCCACCAAATACACATCATTTCAGGCTAGTATCTTGGGACCTATCATTTCAGGCTAGTATCTTAGGACCTATCATTTCAGGCTAGTATCTTAGGACCTATCATTTCAGGCTAGTATCTTGGGACCTATCATTTCAGGCTAGTATCCTAGGACCTATCATTTCAGGCTAGTATCTTAGGACCTATCATTTCAGGCTAGTATCTTTGGACCTATCATTTCAGGCTAGTATCTTAGGACCTATCATTTCAGGCTAGTATCTTAGGACCTATCATTTCAGGCTAGTATCTTAGGACCTATCATTTCAGGCTAGTATCTTAGGACCTATCATTTCAGGCTAGTATCTTAGGACCTATCATTTCAGGCTAGTATCTTAGGACCTATCATTTCAGGCTAGTATCTTAGGACCTATCATTTCAGGCTAGTATCTTAGGACCTATCATTTCAGGCTAGTATCTTAGGACCTATCATTTCAGGCTAGTATCTTAGGACCTATCATTTCAGGCTAGTATCTTAGGACCTATCATTTCAGGCTAGTATCTTAGGACCTATCATTTCAGGCTAGTATCTTAGGACCTATCATTTCAGGCTAGTATCTTAGGACCTATCATTTCAGGCTAGTATCTTAGGACCTATCATTTCAGGCTAGTATCTTAGGACCTATCATTTCAGGCTAGTATCTTAGGNTAATATGAGTATTATGGTGTAATAGACATAATACAAGTATCATGGTGTAATAGACATAATATGAGTATTATGGTGTAATAGACATAATACAAGTATCATGGTGTAATAGACATAATATGAGTATTATGGTGTAATAGACATAATATGAGTATCATGGTGTAGTAGACATAATATGAGTATCATGGTGTAATAGACATAATACGAGTATCATGGTGTAATAGACATAATAAAAGTATTATGGTGTGTGCAGGTGCATATGAGTGAAGACATCAGAGACATGTTCAGCCATGATGCTGGTCTGCTATGTCTGACTCCAACCACTCTAAGTCTGCGCTCACGTTACGGTCTGCCGCAATACACTTACAGGTACTGCAATACCTGTGAATAACTCATAGTTTTTTGTTGCTTGCCATTTGATATGTCATGTTTATTAATTGCCATTATAAATGTCTTGTTTATCACTTGCCATTATAAATGTTATGATTATAACTTGCCAATGTGAATGTCTTGTTTATTACTTGCCATTAAGAATGTCTTGTTTACTACTTGCTATTATAAATTTCCTGTTTATTACTTGCCTATACCTTATATCTTACTCCTTATATCTTACCTTATATATCATTTCCTTGCCTATATACCTTATATCTTACTCTATTCTTACTCTTGCTGCTTCTATTTACTCTCTTGCCTCTTCTATTTATGTTGACATAATTATTGCTTGCCTTATAGCTAATATGTGTTTAATCCCTTGCCCAATGCATCATTAATGAATTATTGAGTCTGCCATTGTAATTTGCAGATATTCAATTGTTTTTGTAATGATATTTTTCTGTGTCTCATGTGATGTGTCTTCTAAGTTACCAATTCATTGTACTTTGACGCTTGAATGTCTTAAAATAAATGATTTCAATTCCGTATATTTACTTAAGTTATTGTACATTTAAGCAAACCTTTTATATGTCATTTGCAGAAGTGATAAGTTCGAGAACCTGCAGACGCTGTGCTACCGACACCACACCAACCGAGTGCTGCTGGGGGGGCACCAGCCTACCGTTGTCGAGTTTGATCTTGAAACTCAACAGGAAACTAACGCAGTTAGTGCTCTCTATGTCTCAAATGAAACTAACTCAGTTAGTGCTCTCTGTCTCTGTTGAAACTAACGCAGTTAGTGCTCTCTATGTCTCAACTGAAACTAACGCAGTTAGTGCTCTCTATGTCTCAACTGAAACTAACGCAGTTAGTGCTCTCTATGTCTCAACTGAAACTATAATGCAGTTAGTGCTCTCTCTATACTAGGTACACATAATGCTGCTCGTATTATGACCTTTGCTGTATATTTTATTGCTTTGTATGGCTATATGCTCAGGTGCTGCTTGTATACTATACATAATGCTTCTCTTATTATGGCCTTTGCTGTGTAATTAGGCCTTTGATTGCCAATCCAATGATTGAGATCGGCTGAAATGTTTGAATGAACATTACTGTCAGTGAACAATTTTATTTTATGAATTTATTATTGCAAGAGTTTTTCTACTCACTTGATTTTTTCACGAAAATAAGCCTGACAAAACGATAAAGAGCCTTTTATCAACTGAATAATGTTGATCAATTGTACGGAATATATTGAGAATATTGAAACCTTGCACGTTAGTAGACTACCTAGTTAAGATATTTTTATTGTGCATCGGATGGGCCGAGAGATTGAGGACCAGCTACTGATGGTGTACGACATGCGTATGATGAAAGTGTTAGTGCCACTGCGTATTAGTAGTAGTAATAGTAGTAGTAGTAAGTAGTAGTAGGTGTTTTAAGATATTTATATTGTTTGCAGGATGGGCCGAGAGATTGAGGACCAGCTACTGATGGTGTACGACATGCGTATGATGAAAGTGTCAGTGCCACTGCGGTGTTCAGTACCACCTTATCTTCTACGCTTCGTCCCCGGCATGTCGAGCTGCATCGCTGCCGTCTCCAACACAGGAATGTGGAATATGCTTGACATTATGCAGCCTGAGACAGCTCTTCTTCTGCTGCACACTCATGCCAAGCAGGTTTCAACAATACATATATTTATATGAACTCTATTATCCTTTTTAGCGCATTTTCTCATTTATGGAAAAAATGCACTATTGTGCTCGCCATGTCCGTCCGTCCGTCTGTCTGTCCGTCCGTGAACTCGTGTTTTCGTCAACGAGAAAATGCGCTCTCTGTCACTCACTGCAGTGAGTAGGTACTGAGTTACATTTTTTGAAATTACTCCCTCACATTGTCAAAAGACAAGTTCATGAAAATTAATCGAATTATTGAATACTTCATTTTGTGGTACAATTAATGTTTGACGGTGTGGTCAGAGATGCGTTTAATGTTTGGGGTGTGGTCAGAGATGCATTTAATGTTTAATGGTGTGGTCAGAGATGCTTTTAATGTTTGATTGTGTGGTCAGAGATTCGTTGACTACGTATTGGTACATATGCGTACCACGAAATGTATTTCTCCAGGACGTAGTGGTGCATAATTCAGGTTGCCTAAAATCGGCCAAATCCGAGAACAAAAAAGGCCAAAAAGGCCGATAATCCAATGTATACTAGTTTATTTGTAGGTTTCGCTATAAAAATTCCATTTATTTTCTTTTTGCAGTATTTAAAATTTAATTAGGAAGTACCCCTATCATAAATTGTAGCCGGCCAACGCAATTGAGAAAAACTAAATCACGGAATTTGTCCGGAAAAAATGACCGTCCTGCTTAAAAAAAGTACAACAAATGAAATAATAGTACTAGATGAAGCAATCAGAGTCAACGTGTTAATGTTTGGTGTGTGGTCAGAGATGCATTTAATGTTTGGCAGTGTGGTCAGAGTAGTGTTTAATGTTTGGCAGTGTGGTCAGAGTAGTGTTTAATGTTTGGCAGTGTGGTCAGAGTAGTGTTTAATGTTTGGCAGTGTGGTCAAAGTAGTGTTTAATGTTTGGCAGTGTGGTCAAAGTAGTGTTTAATGNTGAGGACGTTAGGAGTGCCGTGTTCTGGATGGTCTGTTTGTGAGGGCGTTCATCTCGTCGAGAAAGAGAACCTGCCTCAGAACTCGATGGTGGTGGCAGTGATGTTTAGAATAGTTAACTAAACAGTTATATTATAACTTGATTTAACAATGAAGATATTAACTAAATAATTATTTGATGTTGTACGTACCTCAGAACTCGATATTAGTGGCAGTAATGTTTAGAATAGTTAACTAAACAGTTAAATTATAACTAATTTAACAATGAACGTATTAAACAAATAATTATTTGATGTTATACGTACCTCAGAACTCGATATTAGTGGCAGTGGTGTTTAGAATAATTAAATAAACAGCTATATTATAACTTGATTTAACAATGAAGTTATTAACTGAATAATTATTTAATGTACGTGCCACAGAACTCGATGGTGGTGGCAGCAGCGGTGACGTGCATGGCGGTGTCGTCCTCGTCTCAGGCTGTGCTCTTCGGGGACACGGCGGGACATGTGCACCTCTGGACGCAGGGCGCCAAGCCTACTTATAACAACTTCTCTAGGGTCTTGGCCTTATATTATCATAGTTCTATAATATAGCCAAATATATTTCATAATGCATAACCTTGTTATATGAAGCCCACATATAACAACTTCTCCAGGGTCATAGCCTTATATATTCTCATAGTTCTATGTATAATATAGCCTGATATATAACATTATGCATAAATTATTATATATAGGCCATGTATAACAACTTCTCCAGGGTCATGGCCTTATATTATTCCTTTAATATAGCCTAATATAGATCATAATGTATAACATTGTTATATGCAGCCCACGTATAACAACTTTTCCAGGGTCATGGCCTTATATTATACCTATAATATAGCCTAATATATTTCATAATGCATAACATTATTATATGTCGCCCACATACAACAACTTCTCCAGGATCATAGCGTTATATTATTTCTCTAATATAGCCTAATACATAGGTATCATAGTTCATAACCTTATTATATGTAGCCCACGTATAACAACTTCTACAGGAAGCATTGTCATTAGTTCATGTATTCCTTTAGTGCAATATATTGTCTTTCCTCTGCTACTGCTATTTCTTTACTGCGTTGCCACTTATGCTTTATTTTATATTGCAAACCACTTATTTTATTGCAAATTTGCATTATTTTATATTGCAAACCACTAATTTTATTGCAAATTTGCATTATTTTATATTGCAAACCACTTATTTTATTGCAAATTTATTGTACAGGAGTCGCCATATCCCAGCGACGTAGAGCCAGCGCCCTCGATCCCCATGACGGATCAGTTCACCCCCTTGGGGACCATCCCCCTCGCCATCCCCGACCAACCCCTTCTGTCATGCTTGTATACTATACATAATGCTGCTTGTATTATGGCCTTTGTTGTGTAATTAGGCCTTGCTTTGGTGATCCAAATGATTGAGATCGGCTGAAACGTTTGAATGAACATTACTGTCATTGTACAATTTTATTTTATGAATTTATTATTGCAAGAGTTTTTCTACTCACTTGATTTTTTCATGAAAATAAGCCTGACAAAACGATAATGAGCCTTTTATCAACTGAATAATGTTAATCCATTGTATGGAAGAGGCTGGGAATATTGTAATCTTGCACTTTAGTAGTTTAGTTGAGATATTTGTATTGTGTACAGGATGGGCCGAGAGATTGAGGACCAGCTACTGATGGTGTACGACATGCGTATGATGAAAGTGTCAGTGCCACTGCGGTGTTCAGTACCACCTTATCTTCTGCGCTTCGTCCCCGGCATGTCGAGCTGCATCGCTGCCGTCTCCAACACAGGAATGTGGAATATGCTTGACATTATGCAGCCTGAGACAGCTCTTCTTCTGCTGCACACTCATGCCAAGCAGGTTTCAACAATACATATATTTATATGAACTCTATTATCCTTTTTAGCGCATTTTCTCATTTATGGAAAAAATGCACTATTGTGCTCGCCATGTCCGTCTGTCCGTCCGTGACTTCACGTTTTCGTCGACGAGAAAATGCGTTCTCTGTCACTCACTGCAGTGAGTACTGAGTTATATATTTTTTAAATTACGCCCTAGCATTGTCAAAAGACAAGTTCATGAAAATTAATGGAATTATTGAATACTTTACTTTGTGGTACAATTAATGTATGGTGGTGAGGACAGAGATGCGTTTAATGTGTGATTGTGTGGTCAGAGATTCGTTTTATGTATGGATGTGTGGTCAGAGATGTGTTTACGTCGTCTCAGGCTGTGCTCTTCGGGGACACGGCGGGACACGTGCACCTCTGGACGCAGGGCGCCAAGCCTACTTATAACAACTTCTCTAGGGTCATGGCCTTATATATTCTTATAGTTCTATAATATAGCCTAATATATTTCATAATGTATAACCTTGTTAAATGTAGTCCACATACAACAACTTCTCCAGGGTCATGGCCTTGAAGTATTCCTATAATATAGCCTAATATAATTCATAATGCATAACTTTGTTTTATGTAGTCCACCTACAACAACTTCTCTAGGGTCATGGCCTTATATTATTTCTATAATATAGCCTAATATATTTCATAATGAAAACATTATTATATGTAGTCCACCTACAACAACTTCTTCAGGGTCATGGCGTTATTTTATTTCTCTAATATAGTTCTATAATATAGCCAATATATATCATAATTCATAACCTTATTATATGTAGCCCACGTATAACAACTTCTACAGGAAGCATTGTCATTAGTTCATGTATTCCTTTAGTGCAATATATTGTCTTTCCTCTGCTACTGCTATTTCTTTACTGCGTTGCCACTTATGCTTTATTTTATATTGCAAACCACTTATTTTATTGAAAATTTATTCCACAGGAGTCGCCATACCCCAGCGATGTAGAGCCAGCGCCCTCAATCCCCATGACAGATCAGTTCACCCCCTTGGGGTCCATCCCCCTCGCCATCCCCGACCAACCCCTTCTGTCAGACTGGCCTCCACACCTCATGGCTGTCAAGTACAGGTAACTCTTGACACTTGCCGACCAGTCCCTCTTGTCAGACTGGCCCCCACACCTCATGGCTGTCAAGTACAGGTAACTCTTGACACTTGCCGACCAGCCACTCTTGTCAGACTGGCCCCCACACCTCATGGCTGTCAAGTACTTGTAACTCTTGACACTTGTTCACCAGCTCCTCTTGTCTTGGTCATTACTTGACGAAAATATTTTTTCTTGCTCCTTTTATAAGCTCGAGGTCAATTTACATTATATCCTAATGTGAACTCACATCTTAACCCTCGTTCTTACGTTCAGGCCCTAGTGTGATACTATGTAACTACCATGCATAGATGACCGTGCTACTACACATTACTTCAACCCAGACCTATAAACCTTGGCGATGTGGTACTATGTACTTACCATGCCTAGACTACAGTGGTAGTACACATTATTTCTACCTAGACCTGTAAACTACCGTGCTAATATAAATATTCTTGATCAGACCAACTCCTCCTGTCGACCCGAAGATTCTGGCCAACATGAACATGCAAGGACCAGTCGGCTACCATCCCAACACCCTGGGCCACAACCGCAACATTGTGAGTAACTCATGTCACGTACTTGTGGCTATCTAATACTAAGCAGATATCAAATACTTAATGGCATCATATACTGGGCCACAATCGCAACATTGTGAGTAACTCATGCCACATACTTGTGGCTATCTAATAGTTACTTAATGGCCATCACATACTTCTGAAAGGGAATCAATCTTCTATAATGAAAGGGAATCAATCTTTTGCTTGTGATTCATCTTTATGTAAATCAAGAACATTTTCTGCAAAAATTCTGCAATCATGCTACGTTTCCTGACAATATTAATTATATGATCATTTCTTGGGGTAGTGTATTGTTCATCGTAAGGCTTGCTGGCACGAAGCATATTTCATACATTGGTATCATGCTTGTCCTCAGGTGCCATGTAAGCCATATCATGCCTGTCATCAGGTGCCATGTAAGCCATATCATGCCTGTCCTCAGGTGCCATGTAAGCCATATCATGCCTGTCCCCAGGTCCCATGTAAGCCATATCATGCCTGTCCTCAGGTCCCATGTAAGCCATATCATGTCTGTCCCCAGGTCCCGTATAAGTCGTACCGGGGACGCCAGAAGAATGGTCTTGACAGCAGCAGCAGCGACAGCAGCGTGAGCTTCAAGGTGCCGCCGTATTATCGAAGAATTGAAATCAAGTATGGAAAGCTCGGCATCGATGACTTCGACTTTGACTTCTACAACAGGACGAGCTTTTCGGGGCTTGACATGTCCCTACCCAACTCTTACTGCAACGCCATGCTGCAGGTTGGTGCCCAACTCCTGCTGCAACGCCATGCTGCAGGTGCGTGCCCAAGTCTGCAGGTGGCAGCTAATGGTCGCATGTCCATCCATTTTGGTTGACGTTATAGAATTATTCAAATTTTGAAGGTATTTCCTCTAAGCAAGTACTGATTGCTCTATGATACGTTGAAAATATTTCGTCAATCAGCGATAACTCTGAATAAGTGTGAATTTCTTTATTTGTCGTCCACATGTGTTCACCTCGGACATCTTTCTGTGGAAAATAATAAGAATGACTAATTCAAGTTGACTTTTTTAAAGTATTACGTGTACTGTATTTAGAGTACATTAGGTTATTTACCTATTTTATAATATAAACTGTTGATCATAGAAGTCAATGAATATACAGTATATATTGTTCCTTATAGCACCTCGTTTTGCACCAGATTTTCTACTACCTGCCTCCTCTACGGGCCGGTCTCCTCTCCCACTTATGCTCCCGAGAATTCTGCCTGGCGTGCGAGCTCGGCTTCCTCTTCCACATGCTGGACATCAGCATGAACCAAGGGCAGCCCTGCAATGCTGCTAACTTCCTCCGTGCCTTCAGAACCATCCCTGAGGCGTCGGCCATGAGTCTAACGCTCTCTGACACCGACATCAGAGCCAAAGTGAACCTGCCTTCCAAAATAATGGTGAGTTAATGCGATGTTTCTGACGACAAAACCCAGCTCTTTTCGTGCCCGGGATCTTGACTAATACTCAGCACCTTAAAACGCCTGCGGTCGTGAACAAGTGTACAATGTTTCCTGCTTATTTGTGACAGTTGCTGATGTTTAACGTGTTTTTAGCTTGTTATAAACTTGTTATTCTGTGAACGACTTTACATAGTATGTACATATTCTGTATATTCGTGTTCGTGATATTGTTGATGTAGAGCCACCGATCACGTGTGAAGGATGGTCGATTTGATGAACAGGAGCAGTGCTGTTGTCATGTGAATTTCCTATATGTTTTTTGCCTCTGAACCGAGGAGTTACTCATGTTTTGTTGACCAGATCGTGTGATGGTCTTCGCTCTTAGTTTATGCATTAATTGCTGTGTAATTTGCTGGGCTGGAACTGTTTTATTGAACAGATCTTGTGCTGGTCTTTGCTTTTAGTTGTATTTGTATTAACTGCTGTGTAACTTGCAGGGCTGGAACTGTTTTATTGAACAGATCTTGTGCTGGTCTTTGTTTTTAGTTGTATTTGTATTAACTGCTGTGTAACTTGCAGGGCTGGAACTTTTTTATTGAACAGATCTTGTGCTGGTCTTTGTTTTTAGTTATAATTGTATTAATTGCTGTGTAACTTGCAGGGCTGGAACTGTTTTGTCCTACAGCAACTCAGCAACGAGCTGCAGGCCGAGCTCAAGGAGAAGGCTGAAGCTGCTGGCACCTCGGACGGTGAGTTCATAAATATTCTTTTTTATTACTCTTCCTTTACACGGAATTGTTCCCTTCATCCAATGAACCAGAATACAATTCGCTTTACAAACTTCTAAATCGCTATGATGAGGAAATATCTTCTAGCTCTTTGAATGATACGACCAGACGCTTTTCTCTTGACTGTTACAACATAAAAACACAACAGCATTCGTGTGCAAAGCTTGACGTTCTATCAAAAAACCCATTATTTCATGCAAGTTTGATTTACAGCCTTCAGCTAATGTAACTTAAGGGATCCAAGTCTGCTTCCTGCCACCATATGTATAGCCAAGTTTTTAAAAGCTCAGCGCATGTGCTGCAGTACGTGAAAGTCACAAGGCGCTGGGGAAAGTGCAATCTCGAGAATGTATTTTTGAACATATAAGAGAATACCAATGATCTTTATGATATAGAGTAGTAGAGTACCCTTGTTCATTATTACTAAGAAGATAAATCTCTTCGTGATGACATATCGTATTAATGTTTCTGATCATTTGGAAGATAACAATAATATAAGACTTTTGTCACCAGCAGAGATGAACCTTGTGGATGCAGTGTTCGGGTGTGGCGTGTCACGCGTGCAGCGCTGTAGCCGTTGCAGTCACACGCTCACCGCCCCCACCACGGCGCTGCTGCACAACCTGTCCCTGCAGGAGACCATGCCTGGTGACTCATTGCTTATAATTAAATCTTGCTTACAACTGCTTTTGATGCATATGATGTACACAAACTTTTTATCCTTGGTGCCCTAATTGACCTTTAAATCTATTTTTAATTCAGTAGCTCATAACATTTCCCTCTTGTTTGCCAAATTTAAGATATTATTATAAACTTGTTACCAGTGTCTAAAATGTTGTCATTATTGATATCCGTTGGCAATCATCGCATTATTTTAATACAGTAACTTGTAAAGCAGGGGCCATACTTTCAAAACTCGCTAAGTTAACGTAAGTACTTACGTTCTATTTTCTTGTCTATGATTGGTGGATTTTGCTTGAAAAGCCGTCAATGATTGGCTAATGAACTTACGATCTCTTAACTTTTTTTGGAAGTATGGCCCCAGGTCATTGCTCGTCTGGATGCAGCATGTTTACGATATCGTCCTATAGGTGTGGCTTAACACATTATGCTCGGTTATGTCGTATTCAGGGCGTATCTCATACCGGTTGGCCGTGCCGCACATAACGTTTTAAGGGGAGCGTCTACCATAAAATTTTTAATTTTGGCTTTTCCGGTTTTTAGTCTCATCTTAAAGCTGACATTCTGACCTATCCAACGGTACCAAAATCATCACTGTACGTTGATTTATGCGTTCACGACATATCCAGAAAGGGTTATGGGTGGTGGAGTTGTTCAACATTTAAGATAGGCCGAAATTACCGGCAGTCCACTTAAATAGCTAGTCTGAACACGCTGTGCTTCAGTTATCCGCCTGAAGTGATATGGGATGGTTCTCGTGCCGTCGTTCGCACCATCCTTGACAGAAATTGAGCTCCAGTATCGTCTAGTCTTGCAACCTTGCACCCTCGAATGTCTATTTCGAGGCGCGCGCGATTTTGTCGGGCTCTACTGAAAAGTTAACTTAGTTATTGTCACTGCAAACCTATCTCCTCCTACAGTTTTAAAGCTACAAGAATGAGACATATGCCGTTCGATTTGAAAAAGAAAGATCTACAATTCATAGTACGCGTTTTTCTTATTTCGTTATAGTGTGGATTTTACTCTGCAAAAAGGGGGTGGCGAGGGGTAAAATCGAAAAATTTCCGAAAAAATTACGAAAAATGCCCCCACAACTACAAAAATGAGAATTAAAAAACTCGTATTACGAATTATAGAAATGGTTTTTACGCATCGAATGATATGTGTCTAGATGTTGTAACTTGAAAATCCTATAGGAGATAGATTTCTACGGTACCCCCTTTTTGGCCGTTTTCTAAGAATTTCACGTTTTCTTCCATTTCGAAAAATTCACATGAAGAAAAAAGTCTTAGAATTCTGTTTTACATATACCTACCAAGTTTCAAAGTGATCTGTCTGTAAATAACCAAGATAAAATTTGGGGTAGATGCTCCCCTTAAATTGCAGTGCCAGAATTTGCCCGGGAAAATCTGTAATGTACTCTCTTCATCTCATCAGTTATGTTTGTTTCTAATGAAGACGAAGATCAGTAATGCTGCAGATCAAATAACTGCAGATATTGCGATATTTGTTTACCTCTCTTATATATTGAGATGCATCTGCTTGACATACATAATATATGCGCAGAGCTGAAGCTGAGGCATGGAGCGATGGGAGCTGTGCCGTTCAGCGCGGTGGTGGAGGCTGGTGTGCGTCAGAGCATCAGCAAGACTTCCTATTGTGACGAGTGCAGGAAATATCTGCCCCACCAACAGCTGCGTTCTTATCAGTCCCTCCCCAACACATTGGTGCTCAATACAGGCGTGGACAACCCGCAGGTCTGTGGCATGTCACAACTGTGCGATCATCTCGACCTGACATATTGCGTACAACCCTAACATATTGCACTCCACCTTAACATATCGCACCCCACCCTAACATATTGCACCCCACCCTAACATATTGCACAGGCGTGGACAACCCGCAGGTCTGTGGCATGTCACAAGTGTGCGATCATCTCGACCTAACATATTGTGCACAACCCTAACATATTGTGTACCACCCTAACATATTGTGTACAAACCTGACATATTGAGTACAACCCTATCATATTGCACCCCACCCTAACATATTGTGTACCACCCTAACATATTGTGTACAACCCTAACATTTTGTGTACAAACCTAACATATTGCACCCCACCCTAACATATTGCATCCCAAACCTATCATGATAATAATAAATATTGTAAGTGATCGCTGTTTGTGATGATAATGTATTGTAAGTGATCGCTGTTTGCCATGATAATAATAAAAATTGTGATTGCTGTTTGTGATGATAATAATAAATATTGTAAGTGATCGCTGTTTGTGATGATAATAATAAACATTGTGATGGTGCGCAGGATCTGTCGTACTGGCAGGAGCAGCAGAGGCTCGTGCTGAAGAAGTCCTGCGAGGCGCCCAAGGCGACCGCTGACGAGGACGCCAAAAGCGGCGCGGCATCTGCCGCTGCTTCAGGTGAGGTTAGGTTGAGTAATGTCAAGTTTGGTCAGGTTAAGCTAAGTCAGGTTAAGCTAAGTCAGGTTAAGCTAAATCAGGTTAGGTTAGGTTAGGTTAACCCATTAATGACGAGAATTATTTACTGAATTTTTTGGGGGTTCCTTGTGAGAATATTATCATTTGTGATGGTAATAAACAGAGAATATTCTCATATATTTATTTTTCGTTGTATGTGAAAAAATATAGCTTGGTTCCATATGGAACCGCTCGGCATTAACATAACGTTTCTTCAAGCAACACTTTTTCCGATANCTAGGTCAGGCTAAGCTAGGTCAGGTTAAGCTAGGTCAGGCTAAGCTAGGTCAGGTTAAGCTAGGTCAGGCTAAGCTAGGTCAGGTTAAGCTAGGTCAGGCTAAGCTAGGTCAGGTTAAGCTAGGTCAGGCTAAGCTAGGTCAGGTTAAGCTAGGTCAGGCTAAGCTAGGTCAGGTTAAGCTAGGTCAGGCTAAGCTAGGTCAGGTTAAGCTAGGTCAGGCTAAGCTAGGTCAGGTTAAGCTAGGTCAGGCTAAGCTAGGTCAGGTTAAGCTAGGTCAGGCTAAGCTAGGTCAGGTTAAGCTAGGTCAGGCTAAGCTAGGTCAGGTTAAGCTAGGTCAGGCTAAGCTAGGTCAGGCTAAGCTAGGTCAGGTTAAGCTAAGTCAGGTTAGTTGACCACTGCATACAACCCAATGCATACCTAGGCTACTTTCACAAAAAAAACATATCTACTACTTGTTGTTGAATGATGAATTGAAATTACTTTCACAAAAAACAGTATTTCTACTACTCGTTGTTGAATAATGAATTAATGAATTGAGCAACGTTGGTGTCATTCTTTATTTTGCATCGTACTTCATTAAGCCAGAAATAAACTGTTCAATCACGTAAGGTTTTGTTAAAACCATTATATCTACGTCGATTTATGTTGTCAAATTTTGGGAACCGCATTTTGATTTGGCATTTTGTCTTCATCAAAAATATTGCTTAATTTGATCAATGAAAATACTTCACAGTAGAACAATGCTTACGGTCGAAACGAAGGCAGAGAACTGGAGACCGATGTGTTTGATGGAATTTATAAGTGCGTTTAAACTAATGTCGTCGCATGTGCTGTCAGAACAACAGTGATTCTGCCTGCTTTTGATTGTGAAGATGTCACTATGTTTGACATTATCATTTCCAATTACCTTAAAAGATTCTAGCTTTAATTACAACATATTAAGTGTTTTTAATATATGCATCAAACTCTTGACCATCATAGTGAACATACAATTTTAATTCTTTTTTTATTCTTTCTTCATTTAGATGAACTTAACAACCTCTTGTTCCCTTATTCACTGATTTTAATGTCCCAAACCCTCTTCAATTATTGACTCTCTTCAATAATTGAAATTCATAAAGCGGTCCCGCCGGCCGGGAGCGTCAAGATGTGCCGGTACCGCGGGATGTGCGTGAGGCCGGACTGCAAATTCTGGCATCCCGGCCGCCCCAACGACCGCAGCGCCCCGCCCACTTATGTGCCTGGTGACGATATTCTCCTCGTGGTCTTTGTAACTTATTTTATTTAATTAATTTAGCAGTCAGGATGTCATGTTCAAATCTGTTTCGTTTTCTTCTTCGTGGCATTTGTGACTTATTTTATTGCTTAATTTAGCAGGCATGTCATGTTCAAATCTGTTGCGTTTTCTTCCTCGTGGCATTTGTAACTTATTCTTATCTGTTAAATTTAGCAGACACGATATGCTCCAATCATTTATTTTGTATGAAAATGAATTTCTCATTAACATAGTCATAATAAATGTTATTTTAAACTTGCACAGGTCATTAATGCACAATGTGCTGTTTAGTACTCGAAACTATCCTTGGTGAATCTTCGTTATACTGAATTTCAAGTTAAATATTGTTGAACTCAGCATTGGTATTATTCAAAGATACTGCTCAAGAAAGCAACGTCTGTTGTCTTCAATTGCGAACGATATGAATAGATAGACATGTAACATAGACAAGATCATGTTCATGTTCTGGTGACATTCTGAGTCTGCTGGAGACCATGTCATCTGACATAGACATGATCTTGCGCAGGTTCAGGTGACATTCTAAGTCTGCTGGAGACCATGTCATCTGACATAGACATGATCATGCGCAGGTTCAGGAGACATTCTAAGTCCGCTGGAGACCATGTCATCCAACATAGACATGATCATGCGCAGGTTCAGGTGACATTCTAAGTCTGCTGAAGACCATGTCATCCAACATAGACATGATCATGCGCAGGTTCAGGTGACATTCTAAGTCTGCTGGAGACCATGTCATCCAACATAGACATGATCATGCGCAGGTTCAGGTGACATTCTAAGTCTGCTGGAGACCATGTCATCTGACATAGACATGATCATGCGCAGGTTCAGGTGACATTCTAAGTCTGCTGGAGACGACCATGGACCACGCGTGGGTGCCGCCGGGTCTCAGAGTTCTGCTCAAGGAAGATGGTGACATCTGCTTCAAAAACATCGAACCTGACGAGGTATTTGAAGCCAGCGTAGCATGCATGCATTTTGTGCCCAGGTCATGGACGGCTTTTGCCCTGTTGAAAAGTTATATCTTACGTGGCTATGGTATATGTTATGTCTTACATGGGTATATGTTATGTTCTACATGGCTGTCAAGTTATGTCTTACATGGCTATGAATTTATATCTTACATGGCTATATGTTAAATTTCTTCTCCATTTCAAAGTTCTCCATTTCAAAGTTCCAAAATAAAGTTGCTGCTTTTACAATCAATTTTGTACGACAACTGCGATAGGAATGAGGTACATTGTTTTCGTCAGAAATGTCTTGTTGAATAATAATAAATATCTTATTTAATGACACTAAATATATTATTTAGTTATATTCTGAATACTGACGTTTGTTTATGGCTGCAGGCGTAGGAGACCATTCAGGCGACCAGATCCTAAGTACCGACTTGACTGCAGACGTAGGAGACCATTCAGGCGACCAGATCCTAAGTACCGACTTGTATTACTGCAGGCGTAGGAGACCATTCAGGCGACCAGATCCTAAGTACCGACTTGTATGACTGCAGGCGTAGGAGACCATTCAGGCGACGAGATCCTAAGTACCGACTTGTATGACTGCAGGCGTAGGAGACCATTCAGGCGACGAGATCCTAAGTACCGACTTGTATTACTGCAGGCGTAGGNGTAAACAATGCTGGTATCTCTTCAATGACATCAGGTGCTTGTGTAAACAATGCTGGTATCTCTTCAATGACATCAGGTGCTTGTGTAAACAATGCTGGTATCTCTTCAATGACATCAGGTGCTTGTGTAAACAATGCTGGTATCTCTTCAATGACATCAGGTGCTTGTGTAAACAATGCTGGTATCTCTTCAATGACATCAGGTGCTTGTGTAAACAATGCTGGTATCTCTTCAATGACATCAGGTGCTTGTGTAAACAATGCTGGTATCTCTTCAATGACATCAGGTGCTTGTGTAAACAATGCTGGTATCTCTTCAATGACATCAGGTGCTTGTGTAAACAATGCTGGTATCTCTTCAATGACATCAGGTGCTTGTGTAAACAATGCTGGTATCTCTTCAATGACATCAGGTGCTTGTGTAAACAATGCTGGTATCTCTTCAATGACATCAGGTGCTTGTGTAAACAATGCTGGTATCTCTTCAATGACATCAGGTGCTTGTGTAAACAATGCTGGTATCTCTTCAATGACATCAGGTGCTTGTGTAAACAATGCTGGTATCTCTTCAATGACATCAGGTGCTTGTGTAAACAATGCTGGTATCTCTTCAATGACATCAGGTGCTTGTGTAAACAATGCTGGTATCTCTTCAATGACATCAGGTGCTTGTGTAAACAATGCTGGTATCTCTTCAATGACATCAGGTGCTTGTGTAAACAATGCTGGTATCTCTTCAATGACATCAGGTGCTTGTGTAAACAATGCTGGTATCTCTTCAATGACATCAGGTGCTTGTGTAAACAATGCTGGTATCTCTTCAATGACATCAGGTGCTTGTGTAAACAATGCTGGTATCTCTTCAACGACATCAGGTGCTTGTGTAAACAATGCTGGTATCTCTTCAACGACATCAGGTGCTTGTGTAAACAATGCTGGTATCTCTTCAACGACATCAGGTGCTTGTGTAAACAATGCTGGTATCTCTTCAACGACATCAGGTGCTTGTGTAAACAATGCATGTCTGTATGTGATGACATGGATTAGAATTGAAAACTTGGCCCAAATGGAATCCTCTTGAGTAATATCCATCGTTTCTCTACCGATGGTCACTCCTTTTAGTGACGCTAGTCATTTATTTGTTAACGACGGCTCTCATTTACCAGGACACGGTTTTAAATGTTACGGATCACTAATCTTAAATATAAAGTTGTAATTACTAGAAGGAAAAGATTCTCTGATACGAGCTAGTTTATTACTCTTCATAGCCTAAATGTCGCCGTTTGTTAACTAGCATACAAAGCTTCTCTGTGTGAACTACACAACTCATAGAAGCTCTTACGTTGCAGCATAACTAGCTTGTTAACTAGCATACAAAGATTCTCTGTGTGAACTACACAACTCATAGAAGCTCTTGTGTTGCAGCATCGTGCCCATCACAACACAAGAGGCGCTATGGTTCCCTGTGTGGAAGCAGCCTTGTGTTCTGTATTGGATGAAGCGCACGTTACCCTCAAGTTTAGCCTCCCTCACACCGTCGTGTCCCATCACAAGAGCTGCCTTCCTCAGCGACAAGGGCACGCCTGTCAAGAGGCTCACCTTCGTCCCTCTTGCCGAAGACGAACTTCCTGTCAGTGGTGCGTCTCATTCAGGGCTTAGTATTTTTAGCGCATTTTCTAATTTATGGAAAAAATGCACTATTGTGCTCGCCATGTCCGTCTGTCTGTCTGTCCGTTTGTCCGTCCGTGATCTCAAGTTTTCGTCTACGAGAAAATGCGCTCTCTGTCACTCACTGCAGTGAGTACTGAGTTATATTTTTTCAAGTTATTTGTGCATGTTTTATTTGTTGAACATCATTAAAATGAGTCAGCGGTGCGTCTGATTCTGTGCTTCCCTAAGGAGTATTTGTTTTGAGTTATTTGTGCTAGTATTATTTGTTGAACATCTTTATGTGCTAGTATTATTTGTTGAACATCTTTATGTGCTAGTATTATTTGTTGAACATCTTTATGTGCAAATAAGTCTGGTAGATAATTATAATACTTAAATAAGTCTGGTAGATAATTATAATAATTAAATAAGTTTGGTATATCTACCGTAGATTATCTTCCGTCATCAGTTTGCACCAGTAAATACCTGTCTCTTTATGAATTCAAAATTTTATTGACAAAATTATCGAAATAATAAATTTCATGATTAACACTTTGACTCCGATTGCTTCATCTTGTGCTATTATTTCATTTTTTGTACTGTTTTTAAACAGGGTTGCCAGACGGTCATTTTTTCCGGACAAGGTCCGTTATTTAGTTTTTCTCAATTGCGTTGGCCGGCTAAAATTTATGATAGGGGTACTTCCTAATTAAATTTTGAATACTGCAAAAAAAAAATAAATGGAATTTTTATAGCGGAACCTACAAATAAACTAGTATATATTGATTAATCGACCTTTTTTGTTCTCGGATTTGGCCGATTTTAGGCAACCTGAATTATGCATCACTACGTCCTGGAGAAATACATTTTGTGGTACGCATATGTACCACTTCGGAGTCAACGTGTTAAGATGCCCTATAATTTTTGCAGTACTGTCCAATTTACGAACCATTTAACAAAAAGGAATAAAAGTATATCGCTAGAGACCGTTCACCGTTAAGTAGAATTCACACCGTGCATTGCTAGAGATCGTACATTGTTTACACTTGCAGACAAGGTCCTCTAGAAGGCACACCGTGCAGCGCTAGAGATCGTACATTGTTTACACTTGCAGACAAGGACTTGTTTACACTTGCAGACAAGGACCTCTGGAAGGCACGCCGTTCCTCGATGACTACATCAGCACCCAGGAGCAGGTGGTTGACTACCTCACGCAGTTCTCAGGAATCCAGCCCGGTGACTTGGACGCGATGTACTCAGAGAAACACTTGACGCAACTCAAGAGCACCTACGTTAAGCTACGATACTTGGTCTCGCAGGGCGTCAAGTTTGTTGGTCACGGACTTAAGAATGACTTCAGGTTAGAAGTTATTTACGTACCCTTTGATTTTATCACATGAGATGTTCTTTAATTATTTATATTATTGAATTGATTTTAAAGTTTGGTTGTATGGACGCCATATCAACTCTAGGTGGTTTGGGTTATTTCCTAAAACGTTTTTTGCCAGCTTGTGAAATATTTCTGCATATATAATCCAACCATAATAACGGACTCTAGTCCAATTGCTACTCGTGCCACAGACTCTTGCCTTTACGAGAGATGTTCTTCGATTTTTTTCCCTAAAGTGTCTTTAATTTTGATAAGCCAACATTTAATGGACATTTTTGGAGGCTTACATCATGTATCTCGTGTCGATCATGAGGCTCATTAAATTTGTTTCGAGTTATAAGTTCCATTGAGTTTAATCTTCCAGGCTTACGAGAAGGGAACGCCCTCGTTTGTTTTTCATCGGATTTTGTTGTTTTCAAGCCATATTTTTATTGTAATGACTTAATAAGGTAACAATAACACTTGTTTTGTAGAGTGATCAATATGGTGGTCCCGCCTCAGCAGCTGCTCGACACTGTGCATCTCTTCCACATGCCCCACAACAGGATGTTGTCTCTCAAGTTCCTCGCCTGGCATTTCCTAAGTAAATTTTCTCTAGCATTTTTTCTTATCAGACGAACTGACCGAATCGGTCAGTTCGTCTTCGTCTTATCAGACCGAAGACGAACTTATCAGTTCATTTTCATTAGCCTTTGAAAATCTCTCCAAGTCTTGTAACTTATAGCCTTTATAAGCTCTAAGAGAATCCGGCTCGAATGTTTTTTTTCACTTTTTTTTGCTACTTGAAGCGCTGGTAAATTTTGTACAACTACTACTACTAAATATTTTCTCGAGAACGAGCTTGCCTGCACATGTTCTCTGTTACAAGCGATATAAATTTTTATAACAATTTTTCACTAAGATATCATTGATACCGCAGTGTCAGATAACTATTAGTTTAATTTCGTCTTCTAAACCATCCATTATCCGCCTTCGTCGATTTTTCACTAAAAAGTTATCTTTGATACCGCGGTGTCAGATAACAATTATTTTAATTTCTTCTCCTAAATTATCCGCCTTCATCACACCAGAGCTGAAAATCCAGAGCGTGACGCACGACAGCATCGAGGACGCGCGCACGGCTTTGGCGCTCTATAAGAAGTACTGCGAACTTCAGGCCCGCGGCGTCTTCAGAGAAGAGCTGGAGACGCTCTACCAGGCAGGCAAGAAGGCGCAATGGAAGGTCCCGGGAGAGGAGGATGAGGAATAGTAACTCTAGAGGTCCTCCTCGTTCAGGTGTTATTGATAAGCTGCAATTCCACAACGCAATCATGGTTTAGGTGCGAGTTTATCCTTTGGTCCCCGAATGTTCATGTTGAACAGTCGAACGAAAACAAATATTTTGCATCCAAACGCCACGAGACGGCAGTTCGGCCGTGAGTTTTATGCCACAGAACAAGATAAATAATTCATCAACCAGACGATATGGAGACGTAATACTCCACTAAAGAGTCGTGAGCAGTCATTTGCTGGGCTAAATTATTTCGCAGCTCCCATTCTATTTATATAGACTACGGACTAAATTTCGTCACTAAACCAAACGTTTTTGGCTTCGTATGTCTTGCAGGACAAATTTAATGTTATTTTTATTCAATGCAGAGCTAATGATAAAACAATAATTGAAGGATTTCGTTGTGCCAATCAAGATTTTGTAAGCCTATCAATGTACGCGCTTTCCATGTTGGGTATGCGGATTCCCGTACGTCCACGAAGTCAGCCGAATACGGACTTGAACTTCTTAAAAAAAAATTGTTGCTATAATCTCTTGGCTACCGTGCAAAATATGATCGCAACTTTCTCCGGCGGCAGAAAGACTAATCCCATCATGATGACTCTCGTTCTTTCTTCCATTTAACTTAGTTTCCAAATTTTATTGAATATTTTAAAAGCCAAGGAAACGTCATGTAAGCGCCTTCATCAGTTCAAAGATTTGAGGTAGCTGCGCTCGAAACGGAGATATGAATTTAATTGACGTTTTCTTTGCTTTTAAATTCAGGGCGAACGTCCGATTTATGCAGACTATGATAATAAATTGTTGTCTCGCGTATTCTACAGCCAGATTTTATATGGCTCGTGTACCTGACGGATATTTCTTAGTCGATTATTTCGTTTAATTTTCGTGCTTTTTTTTAAAGGCCTCCCACACTCACCATTCAAACAAAAAAAAAGTAGGGTAGGTGTGGGCATTGATATCATCCCAATGCTTGGCGTTGTTTTTGACTCCCATAAATTTCGGCGTGGAGTAAACATAACGGCTGCACTAATTATAACTCCTGCATTTTATTTAAACGCTTCTATTTGAGATGGTACTTTCTGGGAACCACTGACGCGAAATTAGCTCTGAATAGAAGTGATACCAACTTGAATAGTTGTTCCGTCCACGATTGTGTTCAGCTTTCTATGTTGCAGTGTCATAAGCAGCATCAATATGTTTCATATCAAACATTAACGGAGACATCGCTTTTGCCGTGCTGCAGGACGGCATTCCTTCTTTACAGAATGCTGAATGACAAGGTCGACAACAATGATACATGATAGGGAAGGGGGGTTACTGAATTCCAGCCCATTACTAGTTGCATTTATCGTGTTATTCAAACGAAAACATGTCCTTTAAAAGCTTTAAATAAACCCCTTTTGCATTGTAATATATAATTTTACGGTAGAGATGTGGCCTATTTTTATGTTTTGGTTGAATATAAATTACATGTGCTATTTCTCCTTGATTAACCAATACCCACGTTGCTCTACACTCCATGCATGGGTCAGAGATATGATTTACTCAACTAGTAATAGGAGATATATTCTTGCCTGATGTAAATTTTTACCGGCGAATAAAAAATTCATCCTCCGTCAGACCGGCATGCAAAGAAAATTATAAGGTTATATCCTTCCTACGTAAAGGAGATTCCTATTTGTACTATAGAATTAAGTAAGCATACGAGAATTCGATAAGCATACGAGAAGTAACCTAGGTCTATAGCTATCCTTTGGCCTAGAACAAAATGCCTTACACCAATAATCTATTTCCATTGCACAATTAGCTATTTTGTAGTTTTAACCACGCGCATACACGCCCTATTTGCTACCTGTTCTCAAGAAACATGGAATAGAGGCGAGCTCGCGACTATAACCAATGAAAACATAGCTTTGAAATGCGCACTAATACTAAAATACCTCGATTAATTTGATATTCATTAGCTAAAAAGGCAACGTATATACACGTATCCGTTATTATAGCGCGTACAGTTTTAACTAAATCAGTCCTTTCTTTAATGGCGGAAGTGATGCCAAACTAAACTTAGAGAAATGGTTGGCTCACATTCTTAAAATATTATAGAGCATTCGTTACGTTACGTTAGTAACACGTTACTAACGATAACGATACGTTAGTAACAAGGCGATGAAGACTGTCGCTTTCTGACGGTGGTTACGATACGTTAGTAACAAGGTGAGGAAGACTGTCGCTTTCTGACGGTTGTACAGGCTTGACATGTCGTCTGGGCGCTTCTGCGGGAGACTCCAGAGGTGAGGGCAGAGCTTCTGTCCCGACGACACCGCAGGCTGTACTCCTCGCCTGAGCCTTTAGTGCGGTCAACCTGGCGCAGAGAGAAGACTCGAATATTACTCCAGATCATGAGTTAATTATTACTCAAATTTGGAACAATACCTCGCTATTGTAGACGAAACCTTCTATAGTGACGGTCGTAGAGCAGCATTAAAGAGTGCGCATGATCAGCAGGCTACACGCTATAGTCCAATGGTGTGGACATCGCATAAACTATACGAGAGTGATAAATTATTTACTTAGATGTAAATCTCACACAAAACAAATTATAACCTGTTGGCAAACACAAGAGTTATAAACTTGTGTCAAAGGGTTTATTACAGGGCAATATAGCGAATACTGATCAGTATTGGCGAGCAGAAACTGCTGGCCATGACAAGAGATACAACTAACGTCTAAGAGATTTTTGCAAGACAATATAGCGAATACCAAAATGCATAGCTGTACATGAGCAAAATAATAAACATAGCGAATACCAATATGTATAGCTGTACACGAGCAAAATAGTAAACAAGACTCACTATTATTCTCGACAGTTGTTTCTGCAGCAGTCGCGCAAGCTTAGCATCCTCGGCCTCCTGTCTGAGCTGCGTCTCAAGAGCCTTTTGCTCGGCTATTAGGGCAGAGATCTGAAATAAAAGAAAACATTTCATTGATTAGAATCATCCTTATAGTTCGTTCTATTATCAACTCCAAGCTCACAAAGCAAAGAGACCAAAACATGGATTTTCAGAATAAAAGCATTAGCATTTAAAATTTTCTCCAGAAATACCAGAAGAACAATATGCATTTAAAAATTACATTTAAAATTTACTTTTTAAAGACGACACTTCGTAAGAATCCAGTGTCTCTGATATTACACATGTACAGTGAATTTCAAATTTTATTTTCATAATAAAAAATATACATTTTTTTCAATTTTCTTTGTTAAAAAAAATTCAAATTTCTAAAATTATTTATTTTGTCAATTGATTCATGCATCGTCTCCAGCTTTACGCAAGTGTGCAAACTTTTAGATCGATTGGAGAGGTAGAAGTGTGTTAAATATTGATTATAATACTTGTAGCAGACCTACAAACAACAAGAAGTGAAGCTGAAGCAAAGTGTTGTAAAAAGACCTATATACCCCATCTTGCCAATATCTAATTGCTGGAAAAGTCTAAAAGATCAAAAGAAAACTCACCTCATTATTTGGTATATCTTGGAAGAGAGCTAGTATGTCCTCTACATCGTCAGACAGTGGGTCTTGAGGGCTTGTAGCCGTCGGCTGAGCAAGAGGCCCAACGTCACTGCCATGGCCTGAAGTCCCAGGGCTGCTGGTGGTGCTACTCGACCCGCCGCCTGGAGTTCGAGACTCATTTGGTCCTCCAGCTGTTCCTTCACCAATCTGGTTACTATTCTTAGCACTCACAGTAGCTGTTTTTTTCGTTGTTAATGTAATAGAGGTTTTTCTAACTGACGAAGAAGCTTTATTCAAAGTGCTGTTATTCATACTTCTATCTGATGTCATCTTGCTGTCTGAGCGTAAGTTTTGTGATGCTGATAGTTCATCACCACTCGATTCATGGCAAGAGACGGACAAATTGCTAGTGCCGGCAAGTCTAGGCCGCTTGCGGAGACCAGGGAACTGTTGGCTTGCTGTAGAAGATTTCCTCTTATCTGAAGATGTTTCATTCTTGGTCCTATGAGATGCTGAGTGACAAGCATTCAGACTTCCTTTTGTTGTATTCCGACGGTCTCCTTTAACTAACAGATGAATTTTTAACCACATTTTCATACATAAAGATAGATTATTCATTAGATTGAATTTTTATTTGTCAAAAAATAATTTAAAAATACTTTAAAAGGAATCAGTCAGAAAATTTATGGGCAATCATGATCTATCTAAGATGTTTATCACCACTATGCAGCAAAGTCTAAACCTTCTCATGAGAGTGACATCCTGGAATCAAAATGTTTGATGAAAGAAAATTAGATCACCTTCACACATTTATTAGGATAAATGTTTGGTGGTGGTTTTAGATGATCCAAGGAGCTTGAATTTATCTTTAATGCATTGTCTTTGAGTCATTACTAGTGAGCATCAATTATTTTTAAGACAATTAAAATTGATAATGTAATTTACCTGGAGCTGAAGAGCAGCTTCTTTCTTTGAAGAGCTGTCGTGAAGACTTTCTAGTAGGCATTTCTGTCTCTGATGCGTTTCCTTAGATTTAAAATTCAATTAAAAATCAGAACTAGCAATTTTCTTAAAGAAAAAAAAAAACTTATATTATTATAAAATTTAGAAACAATTATATCATTCATCATATTTTTGTAGTAAGTAGATTGTTGAAAGATTAATATGTCAGGTTTGTAATGGGTAATGCTAGGAAATAATTTAATTCAATATTCATACCATCAGAAACATCACTTTCTTCTTGGTCTGGAGGTGAACTGATGCAGTTTTTAGGAGTGAAAAAACCCTTTCTTTTCAGGGCATCTAAAGCTTCATTATCATTTGGAGTCCCGACCTTGTATCGATTTTTGTCTATTATACTCTTTTGCTTGGAAGCTTTGCGAGTTATACAGGCACGGCTGTTGAGGTTATTATTGAGAGAGGCAGCCAAGTGTTCATCATTTTTTTCCTGCTCTAGACGGCCTGGATCCATTGCCTGTCATGAATAAGATCTACAGAAGATTGTGTGCAAGATGTATACATGGATAAGTTTAGGAATTAAAATTAGTCTAGTATGTCAAGAATAAATTGTAATTCAACATTGAACATAAGAGTAAAATTCAAATAAAAAAATGTATGCTCTTCTTAATGGTGACATGGAAGAAAAGCCAGTTAAAGTTTTGGCTAATTACAAAAAATGAGCAAGCAAATCTTACACTGGCAATCGGCAAAAATTGTACAAGAGATTTTTTTTATGTACTGGATGCTTGTATATTCCATATCCTTCCATAAACTCAAACTGTCGGTTCATACCTTATTTAGCTTTAATAACTGCAGGGCTTGGTCTTTAAACTCCTTCAAAATTTCTCCAGGTTTGGCAGTGTTCACTGCAACACACTCTAATCCACCTGTTGTGAGTTCGGTAAATACATGTGCTCAATTATGAAAAATAAATACTAAAGAACATGATTGCAAGACTACCGAGAAAAAAATTATATCATAGCTGCATCTTCTGATGCTCTAATCAATAAATCATCATGATATTGTAGCTTGATTTGCTGCTAGGATATATATTATCAAATATTATTGTTGGATAATACTTTACACATCCAATAAAAATTATTGATTACCAGCAGCAATAAATTTATTTATGAATATTGGTACATAACATTTTCACAGCAGTTTAATGCTTACTAAAAAGTTGCATTTCAAGTTTATTAACAAGGAATATCATTTTTATTGGAGCGCCTCCACTTAAGTACAGTAACAAATAAGTTTTCAGTTTACTTGATAGTACATAAATACTTCATCAACAATTCTTCACTCTGCGTCTCACATTTAGCACATATTCATATTTTCTAAATTAGTAACTCACAAGTTCCACTGCTAGACAAAACTTTAGGCGAGTTCTTTGACTGTTCCAGGTCCAATTTCTTCATAAACTGCTCCTTAATAGCATTCCAGAGTCTTGTATTGACAAGTTCTTTTGACTTCATTGAACGACGGGCAAAATTTCCTATTCTGAAAAGAGGTCATAAATTAATGAAGATCTGACAGTGTCAGGAACCATAAATAAAAATATATTATGAATTCATAAGGTTTTATTATACAGATGCTCTGAAAAATAAGAGGCCTTTCTTTGAGATATATAGCAAATTTGTAAAAAAATCACTTTCACATTTTCATTTTAATTTCCATACCCAATTGGTTGATAGTTAAAAAAATAAACTGATAACTCTGAATTTTTAAAAATATTCATTGCCATCTAAAAGGTCTAATTTAGAAAAATACCTGCATCTGCAGACTGGACATTGGAGAGTAGACTCTTGTAAGATCTGTAGGAAGCATTTTTTGCATGTACTGTGCTTGCATTGCATTGTCACTGGTTCCACCAAAATGCATAGGCATATGGGGCATATGACGTCATCTTCATTCAACTTCAGGTATTGAGGATCAATACTATCACACATTTTTTTATTATTATTAAATACACTAATTTGAGTTTTACTGCTCATTTTTAGTTTAATATACCTAGAAATGATGAAAAAGTAAATGGAAAACAGGAATTAAAAGATATTTAATACTCTATCTCTACTGCCTAAATCTTTAGTCTGATTGTGATTATTTCATTTCATTGATTATATATAGTCCTCAAATGTTTACTTCAGTAAGCTCATCCTCATGCCTAAATGAGCACTAATAATGCATAAGTATAAGGCTACTGAAGCTCCCAACTTCCCAAGCTCAGCTGGTACGGAAGCCAGACCTTTAGCATTTCCAGAAAGCAAGCAACTGAAAAAGGAAGATAAATCATTCAATTAAGTCCAAAAGCTTTTGATAGAATCTAAAATTATCTAATCTAATCTAAACACTTCTAAACATTTAATTTTTCAGCTTCTTTGTCTTTTGGAAATGTTATTTTTTATGTTATAATTATAAGCTTAATAACAATACCAGTATATGGATCATAATGGGTGGCTAAAAAGGGAAGTTATTGCTTTCAAGGATGGCCAAGATGGTGTTTACCACTTTGGGACTTTTGGGTAATTGGGTAGGAACAATTATTGATACTAAGTCTAAGACTTAGCTTTGTAAAGTTTGTACAGAGCAAGGTACAAAGCACGTTTTCTATATAGATATGAATTTTTGTGGACTTTTCTTTGCTTTCAAATTTTTAGTCAACTTGCGATTTAAGCAAATAAGTGACATTAATACTTGAATATTGATTAACTGATGCACAGCAAGGAGGGCACCAACAGAACCTGCAGATCCCAAACAGCAAAACTGACATCCAAATCTTTCCTTTGGTGGTTGGCCATTGAATATGGAACTCCCTGTCCGGCCCATGGTCAGGAAGGTGCAGCGTGTACGCCGCCGCCGGAGGTTCGTTTTCGGATGTACGCCAGTACGCCAGGGAAGAAAGCTGCCAATATGCTTGCTAAAAACGGAAGTGTAACCCTCATGCTATGATGCTGCATGATCGACACAGGCACACGGCCCGCACACCGCACACGTACTTTACGATTGAGGCCTGGCAATCATCACAAACACACGTGCTTTACGATCTATATAGCCGATGCCCAATGATCATTCAACACTGATGTGCGCTCTTTGCGATCAAAGTGGCCGATGCCTAATGAATAAAAATCGACATTCGACACAAGCGCACACGATTTACGATCGTTTTAGCCGATGCCCAATGATCAATACTGATGCCATGGTCAGGAAGATGTGCCAGGTGCACGAGAATTTATTGTATCATTTTAACGACCTGCGCAGTGCGCCGTACTATCCTGGTAAAAAAAATGCGCCGTGCGCCGTACTTTAGAAAGCTAAAATAGTTTAAATATGGACGCGCGGCAATACGGCTCTAATTAAATAAAGATCATTACTTGTAGTATAATAAACATGAAGTCTCCCTATTAAAAAGTTATATTTTGTTGGTCATCAAAGATCAAAGTTTGTATCACCTNCGCATGGAACTAAAACAAAGCTTAATATAAAGGAAAAGCTGGAGAGGTGACGGAATTACCTACGATGTCGGAATATACCGCGTTTACCCTAGCCAATAGATCTAAACATACCTATAATAATAATCAATTATCAAACCAAATCTACCCTACCCCCTACCCCACGCAACCGGTACACCGTAATACAATGGGCGTAGTCTGCGTCACGTATTACTTTGGTTAAATTTTCATTTTTTTTCTCACTCATCAGATTCAGATGAGTGTTCAAATTAGAGTAAAATTAATTCTAACGGCGGACCGCCGCCGGCGCTTACCGGCAGTTGGTTCTATTAGGAACTCAGTTGATTGAACAAGTAGCATCGAGAGTATAAAAAATGTAGACTTTCTCTCTTTTGAAAAGAAGGCTGGAGCTCACCTGGAGGAATGAGCTAGCCTAGTTGAAACTTGAATGGTTAGCCTCACCATTCATTCGGCCAGGCCCAGCAGCCAGCTGGCCCAGCTCCTTCCTCTAGTCTCCGCTCAACATTAATATGCTGACAGTGGTTCACGGAATCAAAAGCACGTAGAAGATTGATGTTGGCTCCAGGCCGGTCCAGGGCTGATTTGAGAGTTAATTTGCTGGGTCTACTAGTATACGGCTGCGAACTCACGCAATCACGACTGAATCAGTTCTATCATCCTGCTACGATTTTCGCGCGCTTTTTATTCCGTTTTCCGCTTTTACAAATAACGGAGGTAAGTGTGTGGAAATTTATAGAAATAAAGTCGAATATTTCAAACCAAATCCATTTAGTACAAATAATGCTTCAAACCGATAATGCTTACGTACATCTTGTCTTAGCGATGAAGTTCAATGTTTAAACGCTTGAACTTTGCGAAAGGTGACTATGATTTACTTTTTGAAGTAGTATAGTATAGTATAGTATAGTATAGTATAGTATAATATCTTCGGCATTAAAGAATAGGCCTGGATAGGCCTGTCGCCGATTCATGTACTTTTCTTGGCTAGACTGGCCTTTTGATCAGATCTTTTCAACGGACGGTAGATTAAAAATCGCTTCTAGATATCAGTTGTTCCGTAGGGTACGCGGCATTTTAAGACTAAACATATGCTCATGCATGGCCTTGTCTAGTCTCAGTAGTCTGTTCTTGAACGCGTTCATACTCGGAGCATCAACAATATCTTCAGGGAGGCTGTTCCACATGTCAGTGACTCGAAGCGAGAAAAAATGTTGTCGCGTGGATAAGTTGCACCGCAGTTTTTTTAGTTTATAGCTGTGGCTCCTGGTGTTGGTTCTTGTTTCAAATTCTAGTAATCCTTCTGGGACCTTGTACAAACCATGAGTATACTTGTATACTTCAATGAGGTCACCACGCAGACGACGATAATGGAGACTGCGGGAAGCTTCATAATCTTCAATCTTTCTTCATAAGACTTGCCCTTTAATAGAATAGAATAGAATAGAAGTGTCGGCGTTGAAGACATAGGCCCATGGCCTGTTGCCGATTCTTGAACTTTTCGTGACTTGATTCACAAGGGATCCGGCCTTTGGAACCCGAACATAGTAGTTCTACTCTAATTTGATCAATACGTAAACACGTAACACAGGCGACGATAACGGAGACTGCGGGAAGCTTCATAATCTTCAATCTTTCTTCATAAGACTTGCCCTTTAATCCTGGGATTATCCTTGTTGCACGTCTTTGAACACTCTCAACTAAATTTTTGTCCTTTTCAAGTCTCGGTGACCACACAACGTTTCCAAACTCTAAGTTCGGGCGCACTACAGAGGTGAACAACAGCATCATCATTTCTATATCTAGGTACTCGTAGGAGCGTCTGATCAGTAAATATTTCGAACTGTATTAAAGACATAAATGTGGCTGATTCGTGGTCATTTCTGAAGGACATTGTTAATGTCTTTGAGCCAAAAAATTATGGACCTAAAATTAAGCTCGGTAGAGCAAAATAAACTCAATGGATGGATAGTATAGTTCTAGCTAAGCTGGAAACCAATAAGGAAGCCTACAAGCGTTATTTGCGAACTCGCATCAATGCTGATTATAACCTGTATGCAAAAGCCTGAAATCAAGCTAAAAAATTGTCGCGTTACAGTTAAAAACTTCGAAAAAATATTGCCAAAAAAAAATAAAAAAAAATAAAACCTTATTGTTGTACACTAGCTCGAATTGCAAGGCAAACGGCGTTATTTCTGACTTGAAAGTAGAACAACGAAAGATATCCTATGATGAGGGCAAGGCTAACGTTCTTAATCAGTTCTTTAGCACTGTATTCACAGATGAGGGCTTGAACAGTATTCCAGATAGTGAGGAGCGCCCAGTCACCTCGAAGTCTGACAAGTGTTGTTTGTAAGGTAATGCAATATGTTGTGAGAAATAGGATTATCGATTACTTGACTGTTCACCATCTCCTATGAGGCTATGAGACTGTCAACATGGCTTAATCGCCGGTTGATCCGGCACCATTAGCCTCTTGTCTACGTTGAACGATTGGACTCGCCTGCTGGACGAAAGGTAACCAGTGGATGCATTGTACCACGATTTTGAAAAGGCTTCGAAAATGTTCCGCATGAGCGGCTGTTGCGTAAAGTGAAGACTTTGGGAATTAACGGAACCGTGTCAGACTGGGCATCGCTGCGCAGTGGCGAGCCACAAGGAAGCGTTCTTGGGCCTGTTTTGTTTTTTGCTTCTATAAACGATCTGCCAGAAGTAGTGTCAAGCGTGTGCTCCATGTAAGCCGACGACACAAAAGTTTATAATACAGTGAAGGATGCGTCAAACAGAGTGCAATTATAAGATGATCTTGACAGTTTAGTTAACTGGGCTGAGACGTGGCATCTGCGTTTTTATGCTGGCACGTGTTAAATACTTCACATCGGAAAGAACAAAGAAGAGCATGATTACCGTATGAGAAGACAAGGTTGCAACGAGAGAGTAATGTTTTAAAAGTCTAGTGTGGAAAAAGATTTGGGAGTTTATGTTGACAAGGAGCTGAATTTTTCTAGGTATGTTGAAACGCAAGCTAATAAATCCAACAAACTTCTTGGACTGATCAGACGCTCCTACGAGTTCGTTTAGATGCAAAAGCGATGAAGCTGTTGTTTGTTGCTGCCGCGCGCCCAAACCTAGAGTTTGGAAACGCCGTGTGGTCACCAAAACTTGAAAAGGACAAAAATTGAGTAGAAAGTGCTCAAAGACGTGCAACAATGTTAATTCCTGGCATGAAGGTCAAATCCTACGAAGAAAGATTGAAGATACTAAAGCTTCCATATACCTTAAAATGCCTAGCGTCATATCGAACCCGGTGGAAATCTAGTATCTATTTCAAACTATCGTCAGTCCTGAAAAGATCCGGTCAAACGACACGGCTTTAGATCTTCTGTGAACAAGTCACGAAAAATACAATAATCGGCGACAGGCCACATCAGGCCTACTCTTCATCGCCGACATCACTATGTTATGTTATATGTTGTCAACGTCTGCGTGGGGACCTCATTGAAGTATACAAGTATACCCATGGTTTATACAAGGTCCCAGAAG